GTGCAAAATAAATACTCATAATAAAATGAAATATTTAGAAACTAAATATTCTTGAATTGTTCTAAGAACAATTAATTTCTTGCTTTACAAGATAATTTCAGAAAAAAACGAGTTAAATTATAATAACAACACTTTTTAATTGGTAAAGATAACTGAACTAATAATAATAATTATTTTAATATATTGTTAGTTTACTAAAAATTGCAGATCGCTGATATTATTATTATATAAATAATTAGAAGTTATTACATTAATATTATCTGTCGTATAAACTAGAAAATTGAAAAAAATGTATAAGCTATACCCTGGTCTCTTTTATTATCACTTATGACACCAGAATCGAAATAAATCTTTTAAATAAATAAATCCACGAAAACGACGCATGCAATTCGACGGAAGTTTAAAAATTCGCATAGACCCAAATACAATGAAATCTCCGTACAACAGTACTTGTTAAATTTATGCTGCATTATGTTACATCGTAAACATACGACAATATAAAACATTTTAACTGAATTAAATGATGATCATTGTTATCAATATTCCATCTCAATATTCTCATCTCTATATTCTCTAAAGAAATTTCTTGTTGAATATTACAGCGAAGAGCGTATCTACACTAATGACGAAAAATTGTCAATGTTTTGAATTTTTAAAACACTTTTTAAAAGTTTAATCTCCACTTTGACAGTCGAAAATTATTAAAATTCTAAAATTGAGCTTTAGGGTTCGTAGGGGGAGGGTTTGTTCAATGACAAAAACTCAGAAAGCTTAATAAAATGGCAAGAAAGGCAAGTTTTTGTAGGGTGAAAAGAAGCAAGTTGCAGAGAAAAAAAATTTCAATCTTCAAGAGACCAAGACGAACGACCCGAGTTGTCGCGGGAAAAAAATCATTCCTAAGTTTCCAAGAAACGTTCCAAGTTTGTAAAATGTAAATCCGTAGGATGTAAAAAAAGGATCGTCTTTGAAGGGAGCAAGTTAATACGACTTGTTGTAACGGTCTAAAGTATCGACGAATTCTCATCGTTAACAGTTTATGCTCTTCGCTGTGTATACACAATATATATATATATTTGCCAACACTTCGACACAGAGGGAGATTGCACTGTATTATTCAAATGCAAAGGATTCGATATAGAGACAAGAAACTAAGAGCTGTGAGAAGACCCAATGTCTAATGTTTGCCGATGACTATACCCATACACTTTCAGAAGTAGCTACAGTTATTGACCAACGGCCCCTTAACGTGGTTTAAATATAGTGGGGAGATCAATAGTTTCTGTAATATTGGCTGCATTGAGGAGAAATGTTTGGACGTACGGTGGGAACGTAAGGAGCGTCTCCTCCTTCGCGAAAATTTCGTTCTTTCGGCGAAGAGCTGTTCCCGCTTCTTTTTCACCGAGGGACCGATAAGTCGGACGTTAAAATCAATGGGAAATTATCATCGAGTCACATCGAAAACGTCTACACGTGAATAGGAGAACAGAGAAACAGAGAAAGAGAGAGAGAGAGAGAGAGAGAGAGAGACACGAAAAAAAGGGATGTATTACAGGATGTGATTATTATTATATTGTTACGTTTACGTGAAAACAGAAGAAAAGTTGTCGTTGGTGATAAAGTTGGAATTAAAGTGAGAGGGATCAGAAAGGTGCTACATATTGGTACCCCGCATAATACTGTTTCAATCAATTGGAGCAACAGTGTGTGCAATGTGTATTGTTTGTGGTGTATATGGCAAGTATTATAATATGAGACAACATATATTTGTGAAAAAATAATGTCGCCTACAAGTACCTCACAGATTCTCTTGCACGATACGTTACGCGGTTGATAGAATTAGCTGGCAAAATTCTACGAATTCAACGCGTACACGAAAAGAAATATCGTAACTACGGGCTAGTTACCTGATCTATCTAAACTTCAATCCATCACGCTGTACAATATCCATTACGCTGTATAATAATCTCTCGATCCTAGGTCCTCTCACGTAAGATGAACTCTCTGAATTCTACGATACGAGTAGGTATAAACAATTATATTATATATTTCTTTTCGGGCAAACGCCAGATTCGTCATGTTAAAATGCTGATCCATTCCATTCACGGTTACAGATGATTATGCAACGTTATACATTAGTGACAATTACATTTTTTTCTTTTCACATGTTAAATATATATATGTTATATATACGGCGTGTATATATTTTATATATATATATATATATATATATATGCATTTCAGTGTGTATATATCGAATTGAATTCGCTGGTAGCGAAGTTGCTAATGACATTTCATAGGGAGCGGTGTCGAGAAAGAATCTACGTGATACCTGGTAATCGCGTATTAAGCACTCCCATTATCATCACGACGATTGCTTTAAACGAAATCAAACGACAATTCTCTTCATTTTCGTGTTTTTTTTTTTTTNTTTTTTTGTTTTCTTTAAGACTAAAGAGCTAAGAGAAGCTGGGTTACACAAGAAAATGTGAGATTAGCGATGATACTGTTAACACCACCTAGAAATAAAATACACATTACATACATCGACACACAACGACTGTTGTGCAAGAGAAAATTCGATTGATCCTCTCTATGCTGGTATTGTACTTAATTAACTCACGCTTCTATTTTATATGTAAGTATATTATATGATAGCACATCTACGTTTTATGTACATATACATATATACATTCCTATGTATATATATACACATGTACACATATATACATATACAGGTTACTGCAATTAAATAAAAAGTTGATTAATAGAGGTAAAATGCATCGATATTGTTATATATATAAATATATATGTAAATATATATATATATATATATATATCGATATGGGGAGGTTCATCTAATTAATACCTGGTAATTAATGAGTAATGATAATGCTTGATCAACGCACGTGATTTCGATCTGGCTTTGCTAGGGAAAAGCAAAATTGACTTTCGAGTTTTTATATTATTATTTTGTTAGTGAAATTGATCAAGTAATAGGCATATAGAAATTTATTAATATTTTGTAGATGTATGCAAGTCTACTGAGTGAGTGTATAAATTGAAACAAGTATGAAATTGTTATATAAAGCACAAACTTCTGTTAATTGGCAGATATTTAATTGTTAATTTTATGGAAGAGGAAAAGTGATTTATTAATTATTATCATTGTCAGTGAGCAAAGGAAGAATTCCAATTTCAAATCAATAATATGAATGCAACTTTTGTAGCATGTAACAAGTTTCCATCCTCTCGACAAATATATTCAAAAGCTTTTTAACCATTTATTTTTGAAAATATTTATACCACTCGAGTACAAGCTATGTTGTAAAATTATTTAAAATTGCGACAACATTGTGAGAATTTCCATAACGTGTAATTAAAACAAATTGAGATATTTTCTCATTCATCTTCACGGATGTTGAAAGCAAATTTCAGGATATAAAATAGATAGAATTCTCTCAGTTACAGTAATTTGATATATCCAAAATACTGTAAAATTAATAATTAATTTATTTTTATGATAAACAATGTATCTTACTTGTAAAAAAAAGCAATTTTCGTCTTCTTTATACAACACATTATATCTTTGAGATATTATAAAATTAATAACTAAATAATTTATTTGTATTTTCAGTTTCTGTGATTTATTTATCTGCAATTCATATTTTATATTTGATTGTTGATTTACTTCAGAGTTTATATCAACCTTACATCAATGTTGAAATTTACTTTCTCATATGTTTGATATACATATATGTAAGAGATATAGTTGGACTAGTTTTATCAGAGTACGAATTATGATCATTCTCACAACAGTGTAACTAGCCATAAAACAAAGGTAACGTGTTGACGAAAAATTTTTAAAATAAATAATAAAAAACTTTCACGACGAGAAAGAAATGAAAGAACTCTGATACGTGTTTAAAAAGTTGCATTACAATTAGCGACTTGAAGTTAGGATTTTCTATTATTATTTTTTTTTTTTTTGTTTACAAGAAGAAAAACGAAACAATCATCGACAGTGATCGAAGCCAGAGCCAGAATCCAAATCCGATCTGTTGATTTACTATTTTAAACGTAATTCTACAGTGAAATCGAGTACAAAATCACATACGTCGCAAACGTTCTCACTACTCTTTCGTCTATACAAGAGCTACATCGAATCGATGCTCTACTATCAACTTAATAATACCTTTCTTGAAATTATGGTTCCAGCACAAACTGTAAACGGTGGAGACAGTGTAAGTAAATTAATGAACGAAACTTCAGATTATCCTCACATAATAATAAAGTATGTATTGACAAATTAATCAATTTCTTTTTCTTTTTCTTTTTTAATCAGCGTTAATTAAAATAAAGATTAATTCAATTGCTCAGTTTGGCAAATTTCCCTTTTGCGCAATCGACTGAAGGGAATGTAATGTCGTTCGCAAATTCGTCGAAACGCAAAAAAAACGATAATCGATAAACTGAAAGGAGGAAAGTTCTTCGATTTGAAACACGTCCCCAGACACGCGGAGAAAAATTGATCCGATCGTTCCCGATAGTTTAGAAAACGAATGCGAGAGGAACTGGCAACGGAGGAAATTTCGAATGCCCTATTAAAATTCGTAGAACAATCCAAGCCTCGAACAATCGGCACGAGAAATCTAAAACAAGATCACAAAGAGGCATCCTCGTGGAAACGGCAGTTCATCAATGCTTGAACGACACAACGACACGTTTGTTACCGCGACGAGTTTTTGGCGCAAGTTCAAATTCTTCTTCTCGAGAATTCGATCTTGGAATGCCTCCACAATTTTTCTCCGTCGATTCAATCCTCCCAAACCTCCCTCCCCACCCCCAACCCGTAAAACACGTACTCGCTTGCCGATCCAGCAACAACAACCAACAACAACAACAATAACAACGACGACAACGATAAAGCTCGTAACATGTTAAAAAAAAAAAAAAAAAAAAAAAAAAATGGTTTCGTCGAAACCATCGGCAACGTCACTCACCCTTGCAGCGATGGACGTAGTCGGTTTCTCCAACAGATCCCACAACCACTTCTGATACTGCGCGCACTGTCCCTCGCCAAATTCCTCCTCCTCCCTCTGCCTCAGCGACTCGGCCTCCTTCCGCATCTCCTCGTGCACGTGCTCCTTCCGCTGGTGATACTTGTGCTGGCAACAACTCTCCAGATACAGCTCGTCGACTCCCCAGTACTCGAGGTCGTCGCTGAACGCCAGCACGCACATCTCGTCGACAAGGTGGAGCTTGCCGGTACGATAGAAATTCAGGATCGAGCTGAACGACTTCGGATGACGATCGAAGAAGTACTCGTTGTCGATTAGAGAGTAATCGTCGCAGAGTTCGGTGATTGCCTCGTGGGTGTTGCAGTCCTTCAATCGGCCCAGACGCGTGTGGGGGAGCCTCTCGAGGGTACGCCAGAGGACCTCGTGCTTAACGCCACCGACGTTGATCGAGACCCGCCGATTAAGGGCCTTCGACCTCATGATCATAAACGGCTCGGGCGGTAGGGACGTCATCGACCTCGAGTAGGCGCGTTGCTGCTGCATCTGCAGCGGCAGGGGCGGCGGCGGTGGCGGCGGCGGCGGCGGCGGCGGTGGCGGAGGCGGTGGCAGAGGCGGCGGTGGCAGGTTCACCGGCGCCACCGAACCGGTCGGTCCTACCGACGACGAGAACGGAGCGTACCGAACCTCCTTGTTCGTTCCAACAACTCCGCTACCACCTCCTCCTCCTCCTCCTATTCCTATTCCTGCTCCTGATCCTCCTCCACCTCCTCCTAATCCTCCAGCTGCTCCGATGGCTTTCCCTCCGACAATGGTGATCCCTCCTCCAGTCACTCCTCCGCCCATACTAACCCCTGACCCTATTACCACGTTCACTCCACCGCTGCCAACTGACCCGGCGATACCGATCCCTCCGAGGGATGTTCCTCCTCCGCTACCGGTGCAGCTAGCGAGCGACGCGCCGGCTGCACCAGCCCGCTGCAACGTCGTCGTGCCGCCACCCTCGAACACGAAACCCTGGTCGGTGCCGATGTAGGGCACCATACACGACGACGACGACGACAGCACCGGGCCCGTGACCACGGCGCTCCCATTACGTTCCCCGTCCGCCAGTGTTGAGTTTTCACTTAGCATCAAATCACGCCGACACGCCGGCCAAACGTGACCGATCTCTCGTTATCGGCCTGCTTACGAACGGTCTCTTCCTTTTCCTTCTTCTCCCCTCACGTTTTGGTTGTTCGTGTTGCTGTTGCTGTTGCTGGTTGCCGTGAAAGGCCTCCTGCTCGAGCTTCGTTTCGTCGGTTTCGTCGTCGTCTTCTCCGTCTCCTTCTTCTTCTTCTTCCTCCTCCTCCTCGTCCAGGTTACCCTTCTTGTGCTTCATCCGTACCTACGTCTGTCCTCTTGCATTGGCTCGGTTAAACCGCGCCACGTCATAATCTGCGCGGGAAAGAATCGAATGATTTTTTTTTTTTTTTAGACAGAGTGCTCGTAGGCGCTTACGTGTGCTACAGGGTGTCCCAGAAGTCATGGTATCGAATACAAAAACAGTCGGCGACGATCCGTAGGACGATCATCGATTCAGTGCTCGTGTATTCGACCGATCTTCAATCTGTCATACTCGATTTTCGTCTTGTCTCTAGACAGTGGATCGTAGACTTGTCCCTGACCCAATTTGTACCATGACTTCTCGGACATTTTTGTACAGTCCTTAGTTTTTCTCAGTGTTATAGCGAGCATTTTACTTTGAGTCGCTTCGATTTCAAAAAAAAAAAAAAAGAAAATAAAGTCGTTCAATTGATAATGAGTATTTTCAATCGACGGAGCTGCAACTAATTAACAATGTTCAGGGAAATTTATAATTATAATTATAATTTATTAAATATATCATAAATTAAACTTTATTTCGTCTAAGATGAAAATGATGTCCCTAACTTTCGGGTGAAAGTACACTTCGACTATTAATTAAATTTAATAACATCAAAAATAACTGAGTTATTTAATAATTAATATAATTAAATTTATAAATAATCTGAATTTCAGATTTCTTCAGTTTATACATAAATACGTAAATAATAGCAACAAGATACTGTTTTATATGTTTCGAAGTAATTGTTTGCTGGCAGAACTCTTTTTCACGGAACTCGAGCATCACAGAATACCTTTAAAAATCTATACCTCTTCGTAGAGGATATCAATTATTAATTCACAGCTTTGCGATCAGATCGAATTATAGGTCACAACAACTGCACCAGCTAAGTACACCAGGCATCTCTTACTTTCTTGAAGTATAACAATCATTCTCAACATTGTGTTTTTACACTTCAAACCTTTATAAAGATATCACATAAGAATAGTGATATAATGTATGTACATCAACAATTAATATCAATGAGAAACGATAAAACGAGATGAAAACAAATAAAATGAGAAACAATTTCGTAAAAAATCATTTTTTAAAGAATTTACATTTTTCGTCCATTACGTTAATACATTTTGACATTACGATTCATTCTATATTTAATATAGAATGAATCGTAATGTCACAATTTGTTTTAAATTCCTCATATTGACCTATATTTAATTGATTAATCCTGTCAAACGAAAATAAATAATTCTTACGTTTCAGTTTCATTTTATTTATGTCGTATGTTTCGATTTTAATATATAATATATATTTTTTACATATTAATAAATATACATATTTCAAAATATTAATAGATTAATAATAGATTTTAATATTTTATTTCTGAGAGAGGAATAAATTATAGAACGTGCCATTAAAATGATATTATTGAATACATTCTAGGTGAAATGATTCAGAATAAAATCATTCGCTTGTTCAAATATAAACTAGGCCCTACATTATATTTCGAGACAACGTCGACTCGAAATAAGACGACGTACTATTTAAAAGGTTCATTCTCCAAATATTTAATTTAAATGATAAGTAAAAGAAGGGCCCGAGACGACAAAAACAAATGCACAAGTCCGCCTCTAATGAGGCCAAATTTCAAATCTGATATCATCGTCTGCGTTACTATTTTTGTACGTGTGGCAGAACCTTTCTTTATTGCTCGACACATTCACGTATACCATCGTGCATAAGTATTCAGACAGTTTTATGTTATTGCAAATGTATAAAATGCAATTCAAATGTATCTTGTAACATACTTAGAATGGTTTAATATCAGTTAGTATAAATAAAACAGCGATGGTTGAAAGTTTGGCTGAAGGTTAATTTCACAGACACACATTGAGACACTGTTGTTAGAAAAAAAGATGAAATACGTGCGTTTAATCATTTTTCATTTCAAAGTTTGTACTTTGTCAATTTGACGAAGTGCGCTGTTTTATCAGAAATGCATAACTACCGTACATTCCTTGCATTAAATTGAATTGAGCTCAGAGTATCTTGGAAAAGTAAAAAGATGAAGATTAGAAAATTAACAACAGAGGAACGTTTTGTTACTACGAAAACGAATGCTTGGAAGTATCAACCTTCCTGACAGCGTTGCACCAATTATTATATGGACGATAGTACTCGGGTAGTTCGATCGGTAGAACCGAGACCAGGAGAAACAACAAGTAGAACAGCAAGAGACGAAAATATTAGGCGGTTTTTTTTTCCCGAAAAGAAACCTGGAAAACTATTTTGCCTGAAACATTATGTACCTACGGTGCTGCTACTATTTATACAGCGAGGTTAATAACACTCTGACCCAGTTTCACAGCGAAAAGCACCTGTCCCGATAGTCCTGATTCGATCGTGCACGTGGGTTCGTGCAAAGTCCAGAATCAGTATGTAACGGGGGCGATTATTTTGACGAAATGCCTCGGTGGCTACAATAAACAGCCATTAAGCATGCACGATAAGGAACGTACGTACAGAGCGTACGACTTCTCGGATTTTCACGCGAATGCTTTTATAACGAGGCAATGGCTCGCGTATAGATGAAACAACACAACGTCTATGAGCACATCGCAGTTTACGTAAGAGTTTTATACATATATATGTATATGTATGTGTATATATATATATATATATATATATATATATAAGTGCTGTAATATAACTATAGCACCGGTAGAAAGTACCCAGGCGTTCAGCAAGTATTTATTTTTGACTGTATGAAAGTGTACCGTGACAAAATCATGAATGGGAAGATCTGTTCGTTCGTTGGTTTTCACATCAGCGCGGATAAAGGAATTTTTGTATTCCGCTTGTTTTCCGATTGTACGAGAAATTACGAATGGGTTCAGTTCATCAATTATGGTTGCTTATTCGAGAATCTCAATCGTACGAGGACGTGGATAAAAGAATTTTATATCCGTTTTTATTTCTGACCGTACCTAAATAACAAGAGGGGATGAGAATATGTCCAAATGACAAGATAAATTCATAAATGAAACGATCTGTAGCTTATTTTTAATCGTATTATTATAGAATTATATCGTGAAGAATTGTAGGTAAATAAATTTTTATACGTAATTTTTATACGCTTGTTAGCCTTGATCTCAATGACAGAAATTATATAGATTAAAAGTGTCTGCACACTTTCCTACTTTCAATCGAGAATAAAAAAATTTATTTTGATTAATAAAGAAATTGTGAAGAATAAAAGAACAGAAGTAAAAGAATTTTTGTATCTCCATCATGTTAAGAATGGAGTTAAGAGAGGAATAAAATTAATAAATGAATTGTTAAAAACAAAGGAGTACAAGTAGAAAGAATTTTTGTATCTCTCTCGTGTTTCACTGTACGAAAGTGTGCCTAAATGATAAAATTACAAATGAAAACGTTTGTACACTTGCTTATTTTTAATTGTGCGAGGACACACATAAAAAAGAATTTTCGCGACCGCTTGTTTTTGACTGTGTAGAACTGTATCATCTCAATGGCTGAATTACACACGAAACAACATTTTCAATTGTTTATTTCGGACTATATGAGAATTATTGTCATTCAGTTAATTATAATATTGTAAATGGAAAAATATTTATACTTGTTATCTTTGACTGTACATTTTAATTATAAATGAATAGATTGAGAGAAAATATGAATTTATTTTCTGAATAATATTTATGATCATTAGATCACTTGCGTGTAGCATAAAGTTGAATATTATTTAAATAAAGTATAGCAGAAAATGATTGAATAATATATTGTCTCATTTAATTCGTACTTTTTTTTTTAAATAATCACATCTTGGTTTGTTCAATTTTCTGTTGTTGCATTATTTAGTCATGAGATGAAATAATTTTTTCATTTCATTTTTTATTTGATTAATATTAATATTAAGTTACTGACTAATTAATATTAATCGTTTATCGTAAATTGTTAGTTCGTATTAGTTTAATTTGCACTCTAGTCGCATCCAAATAGTGTTACTATAAATTGACCAAAGTGTCTGGATACTTATGAACGGCCATATAGCTACTTACATATACAATTTCAGAAGAAACAAGAGGGAACAACTGCAAACTACGCTGTATTTACGTTTCCTGCCAATTTCATTTACACGAGTTTTCCCAACTTCCTATATTATTCAAAATATTTTGATTTTTAAAACCCAAAAGCTATGTTTCATGTGACAAACTATTATACAATTTTGCTTTCACTTTGAACTGATCAGAACTGAATTTCTATGCTCTCTTCGAAATTAAATCAGACAGATTGTTTTATGATATCCTTCTTTACGAGGTTATAACGATTAAAATTATCAACAATTTTTTATCGTTGTATCTCGATTGCATAACTCTATATAACTTCGACACAACTAAGTGAATTTTAATATAAATCGCTTGATTATCGAAGCTTTATACAATTTTAAAATTCGCCACGTTTCTATTAGCCACTATAAACATTCTAACTTATCAAAAATGATTCATTCAATAATATTATTAATTGTAGCTTCTGCATATTTTTACTCGTGTCTCTTCGTTAAAAACATTTTTCAATCGTCTCACAAATTTCGTGTTCACGTAAAAATGCGATATCGTTTATCTATAACAGAACTGAAAAGAGAACTTAATTAAACAAGAATTTTCTCGAATCTTTCATACATTTTATAAAATTTGGTTCACGTATATCATGGGATTGAAAGAATAAAGAAATTTCATATGTATGATGTATGTTTGGGGATATTGTTTGAATAAAATATTTGACTGGAAAATATTACATGTTTTGGAACAAAATATAACATTTATAAAATTATCAATTTGAAGATTAAAGTAAAATATAAAACATTTAACACTGGGATAAAGAAACAATAAAAAACAGAGACAAAAAGCAATGAGCAAGTGTTCCTTCCTGTATTCCTGCAAAAATACAGGAATACAGGAAAGAGCACAGGAAACTATGTAAGGAAGACATGTGTGAAGAAATCAGGAGAATAGTTGGGACAGAATTCTCTTCCAAAGAGTAAATAACACATTACCGGAAGCGGAAGGAACAGAAGAGGAATCTTATGGAAAGATATATGCAAATATGTGAGAATTTTTTAAAGAAGTTAGCCAAGAAGAAAGTACAAGGAGGAAAAGAGAAAATTGCAAAACCAAATATGAACAGAAATATGTAAAATATAAAATATTCTGAAATTATTCTGTAATATGGATTGTTCAGTAGATACTGGATTACAATAAAGCATTTAATAATTTGAATAATGCCTCTTATAACAATAATAACTTGAATAATCCTCTTACTTGAACTAAGAAAATGATCAATTTTATTGTTTGATTATTAACTGAGATACATTTACATTTTATTTTATTTTATATTCAAATAAATATTTCCTAAATCATCTTTCACTTCATTATATCAACTGAGGAATACTAATTTCCATAATCAAAAATTGTGAAAATAGTATGGTACGACGAAATTTATTAAAAAAAAAAAAAAAATCTGAAAACATCATATTGGGTCTATGATAAGAAATAGCATTATATAGAATACGTTCGATGAAAGTGGTTCAGTCACGAAATAATAAGATCGCATCGCATTTAACCTTGAATTATATTTCTAGAAACAATATGTTACGTAGAAGAAGTATGTATACATATGTTTCTTTATAAAAAAAAAAGAAAAAACAATGAAAATGATACTATTCTGAAACAAAAAAAAAAGATGGATAATCATAAAAAATATGGAAGATTCAGCAGTCATACGATAGTTCAGTTACTATATATATTTAATTACTGTATTTATCATAATTTTATTGTGTCACTTAAAAATACACGTTGAATATTCGCAATACTTGTATCACTAGAATTGTTTATATTAAATTTAACTTCGCCGAATCATTTTCTGTATATCTTAACATATACAAAATGATTTGTATAAGAAAAGATTTATATAAAACTCTTGCAGCTACTGTGTACAATTATGCTGTTCGTTGCGTTAATTACTTAGTTGTTAGTAGCATTCGTTATAGGAAAGGAAAGAGAAATAGAAATTTTGCTGGTGGTCAGCTCGAAATGCTATTAGAAATCATCTTTTCAACGTTTCTTACATCTTGAGTTCATTGATAGTGGCGAAGTAAACGTACGCAAAGTAAACACATCTAGATCACTCTCTGTCGGGGAATAAATGAGCGTACTGTACTTCTAGAAGCAGAGAAACAAATAGCGAAAAAGGCGAACGGGACGAGAGTGAAAAGGAGAAAAAGAAAGCAAAAGAAAGAAAACAACTCTGGAAACTGGAAGATCTCAAACTAGCTAATAAGACCTCATCACAATCATTGAATAATTGTAATAACCATTTCAACTAGATAATTATTTATTATTCTTAACCAGATACCATTTTCTTCAACGTTGATTGATTTTCACGTTCAGTCACGAATATTGTCCCATCGAATTATATTGGATGCTTTCTTTCTTTTTCTTAATTGATTACGACGAAGAATTTTTCAAGTTTCAACGATAAAGTAGAACTAATAGGGATACAGGATTTTAAGACAAACAAATGACCCTTTTGCACGATTTTTATTGACTATGAAATAATCTTAGTTTTAATTATTTGGAATACAAAATTTCACGATTCAAAGATGATACAAACAACGTCCAACAACGCGTAGGTTCAAACATTTAAAAAAAATGGGATATTTTTAAACCACTATGTCCTAAAGAATTAAACAGACTTAGAATTGACCACACTGAGCAAAGTATAATTGCTTTCTACGAAATTTACTTTGCTACGTAAAGCCAAAAATTCTTACTATAGTTTTAATTATATTATCAAATTTACTTTCCCTACCCCTTTTGCAACGCTAGTGAAATTTCAAAAAAATTTTCTATCACGCGCGTATTTAATATACCTATAAAAGGATATAATCGAACCTATGAACGATAATGCATACGATTCGTGGAAAGGTTAACCACGCGCAAACAACAAATGAACAACATACTGCTACAATTCCGTAGCAATTGTTTGATACTCGTGCTCTAAAAGCTCTTTTTCGAGTACACTCGAGTATCTACTTTACGCAGATCGATCCATGTGGGCGGAAACAACTGCGCGAAAGGAAATACCCCGATCTCTGAACGATCGTTTAATAAACGTCTTTAAATCTTCTGGATTCTAGACAAATGCGAATTAAGTTCAAATGTACGTATGGCATGCCAAAACAATTACTACGATTTACTGCAGTTACAGGTTATGTATCAATTCCGCAGGATAACCTCTTTCCGTTCGGGCCGTTCTGAAAACCGTTTCGAGCTTCACTTTCAACTTGTTTATTGTCGCTGTAAAACTAAAGCATGTGCTACGTATCATGAAATTCGTAACGTCAAAAAATTGGCAGAAGATCGTATTTCCGTATGAAATCGAACTAATCGATTTCTTGCTGTACAAGGAGCAACTTTAAATGTCACGACACGGCATTTATTCGTGGCATAATTCCAGACCAAGTCTCCCTCTTTACATCCCTGGATTACTTCGTGCTCGTTACGCTGAATGTTCTTCTTATCGATTGAATTATTATTTCTCACTGTTATTTGGCTTTCCTATGCACGTACACATAACCTCGACGTGCAGTTCCGTTCTCTTTCCCTCTTCTTTTTTTTTCATTTTTTCTTCTTACTTTGCAGATAACTCTGGCCTCACTTCGAAAAATATTTATGTCAAGACGTCAACCACAGCCAGCGACCAATATATACGTGCATAATCCGGGGCTGTATTATTTAAATGCATGTTGTTCACGTATTGTTTAGATACACGGTTTGGATCTTGGCTACGCGTCAATACGACGTTATATGGCTAGTAAAAATATTCGTGAAGTGTCGTAAGACACGGCAATTTCTTGAATTCTTTGCTTTTAATAACGTCGCCTGCGATTCGAGTTCCTCAGCGTGGCGCAAAAGAACAAAAGCAAGCCTGCATATGCGAGATGCAGCTGTGAGTGGTTGATAAAAAAAAAAAAGAAAAATAACGTAGAAATGCGAAAATGAAGTAACGCGCGATCGTGTTGTCGTGGACAACAGTAGTAAAGATGGATGGCAAGCGTTACTGGACAAGTAGTAAAGAACGACTATTTACAACCTGCATCTCTAGATACGTTGCAAGCAACGGTTTCTTTGTCCCCATTATATATAGGTCAAAGAAACATAATTACTTGCTACGTTCCGTATTGTCATCGAACTGTCACGATTGTGATATTCATAATTGTAATATTAATATTGTAACATTCGTTCGTATTATAATATTAACAATATTAAATTGTAAATCGCGATATTACATGAACGTAAAAAGACAAATGTACAAGTTTAATATAAAGGGCTACTGATCCTTGTCTTTTGTTTCTTTCCCAATTTTCACAACGGTAGTTCGTTTGCGTGCCAAAGCACGATATTGACGCAAGTTTCGAATTGAATTCTGATAGAAAAGTTTGATCGAAAGTCGCTGTGAAATTGCACAGGTGATAACGAAATATGTAACTGTGTAATAAAATAGACTCAGCTGAGATTGACATTGGAATAACAACGATGACAACGTTGAAGCCGATGATTTTTGCAAGATTCAAGGACGAGCAGCTGAGAAATTCAAGTTATCTGGGTCTGTACGCGTGTTATTCGGGGACAGTGTTTGACGCGTACCGGTACCGATTCTATAATGAAGTAGCTCCTATACGGAAATAGACGTAGAGTGGCAATGGAAACGAATCATAGCAGAAGACGAATGTTTGCGACTCACCTCTGCTTTAAACACGGGCACCATCCGTCCAAGGAGACACATTGCGCACCGTGGTGTAGCAACACATTTTGCCCGTAAGCGAGCACGACGAATAATGCACCGTGACGAGCAATGACGGCCAGTGACGAGCAGTGACGACGGTATCGTACTGCCACTTGTTCCACACTAAGCGCTGCAATCGATGTTCGCGCGTCTATCGATTAGAGAAAATGGTCAGTGTGACATAGCCGCGCTCAAATGCGAAAAAAAGAAAAAAAAAATTTCTATTATTTCATACTTGCAAGAGAGCAATACGAGTCTTGCTAGGAATAAAAACTCGAACGTACGATCTTCTTATTAAGCAATGAAATATCGACAAAAAACTAAAAAGTAATTTTCAACGAGATGGATCTACTAACATTTGCAACAACCAACAGCGTTGATTGTGTATCCGGTAATGACGACGATACGGATTCTACTAATATTATAGCTGCCACTACTGCCGGCGAGGATATTGTTTGGACTACAGCCAGATGCGCGCCTGCGTCGACAAATATCGTACGCTATCCTGTCTATCGCGCGTGTCATGAAAATTTGACCTCCACCTATGACGCTTTTCTCTTTTCACAACCGATAGCTCGATATCAATTTTGAACCTGTATAACGGTCGTGCACGCGCAGGCGTGCGGAATGCGCGCGCAGGAGGAACACGTTTAACTGAAAATTGAAAATCACGCGGTTCATTTGAACTGATGAATTTACTAGCTTCATTTGAATATAAGATTGATAAAAATATAAAATCTTACGAAAAGTTAAAAATATAATCTTAAAAATAACAGTTTAATGTAATATGCTTGAAATATCAATTTGTATATTTTGTATATTTTAATCCTTTGTAACAAAAATTTATCTATCTCATATTTATTAAATGTATTTATTAAAATATAACAATAATAAATAAAATCAATTCGTATAAATATATCATAATATTATGATAATTATGATATATATTATGATCTTAACGTTATATTATATTAAATATATCATAATATAATGTTTAACAAATGTATGTCATAGACTCAAACTACAAATACTTCGTTATAAAATATGTATTTTTTCTGTCCGTAACAATAATAGTAAACATTTTCAGATAATTCTCAACCACAATCAAAAAATAGTAAATTCATATAAAATTACTTTATTCTCTCCAAGAAATGTGTACATCATCTGTTCTATATCGTTGTACACAAGTTGTTTCTGCCCATGAAGTATGCCCTTGAGTTTTATATTGAAGTAATCCAGCTACAGCAATCATTACACCATTATCTATACAAAACCGTTCATCTGTAGCATAAAGCACAGCATTTCTTTCCTCACACATAACTTTCATCATATCTTGCAACTTTTCATTACATCCTACACCACCAACTATCAATACTTCCGATGATTTTACATGAGCCATTGCTCTCTCTGTAACATTATCAAATCTATACAATTCTCTTACAATTTTGTACAATATTATGATTAGTAAAAATTTAACCTGTAATTTCAATAAGCATGGCAAATACTGTTTCTTGTAAAGAGAAACACAAGTCCTCTGCAGTAAATTCCTTCGAATCGAGCCAACCAGACAGATGTTCTTCTATGTAACTTAAAATTCCCGAAAAGGACACATCCATTCCTTTCACTACATAAGGCAATGGAGCTAATTTTTTCCCTCTATACGTACAATATTACATTATATAAAAGATGTAATTAACACTCAATCTTATTCCAACAAAATAATTTACTTTTTCGCCAGCTGTTCAATATTGTAACCGGGGCTAGGATCATTAGAAAGTTTCAGTAATCTTGCGAAACGATCTAAACAATTTCCAACAGCTATGTCTATTGTTTCGCCAAAAATACGGTATCTTTGCCGAGAATATGCAATAACCTGTGTATTCCCTCCAGAAACATATAGAACAGTTGGATTTACACTTCCTGTGATCAATCGTCCCATTTCTATATGACCGATACAATGATTCACCGCGACTATCGGTTTATTGTATATCTGGGCAACTGTTCTTGCTACCAATGCAGCGACTGTTAATGGCGCACCCATTCCTGGCCCTTTTGTGTAACATATGACGTCCACATCTTTCAACATTATTTTAGCTTCATCCAACGCCTTTTGCAGAATATTGAGAATACATTCTCTATGATGTTGCGCAGTTTCGCGGGGCAGAAATCCTTTTTAAAATAGACTTTAAAAGGTTTAATATATAATAATAATGTTATATATATATATGTAATATATAATTTATAATATATAATTTAATTTTATATACTGATATATAATAGTTTAAATAACACTAAACCAGAAGTATCAATTATTCTTGTGCGTTATAACTTGCGTATGACGGTAAAAGTAATAACATGAAAGGTTAGGTTCACCTTCGCCGGGTGGAGTGATATACGTATGCCGGACGTTTGAGAGAACATCTTGATTTCGGATAATTCCGACACCTAGCTTATTTGCGCTGCCCTCGAATCCAATGGCAATAGTCATTCTTGCGTCTTAATTTTAAAACGAAACTTTAACGCCAAACAAAATTCATGTGGTGCAAGACCATTGGCACATGGTCATAGGTTCAATTAATTATCCAATAGAAAAGCACATGCGCAGTAGAATTGCACTGTAGCTTTCCCCGACTTTCACTTATACGTTACGCTTACGTATTCTATGCAAAGAACGATAAAAAAAAGAAAGAAAAAAGAAAAGGAAATACCTCGACAAACACGAAAAAAAGATACGTAATCCGCGTGACGTGAGATTTCAAACCAAGCAACAAGCATCGAGCCTAAAAAATCGTTGCAAGTAACGAGAGGAATTCGTTACGATGGCCGCGTAGTTCCAGTGGCGACATCTGTCACTTATCTCGTTTGGAATGCATCCTCTTGCAGTTGGTGCGGCTCTAGAAGGAGAATCTCCTTAACGATCTTCATTCGTGAAACGTCACGCGGAAGTGATTCACCGATTCTCGTGCCAGAAAATGCGAATCTAGCGATTCGCCGCGGTGAGGAAAAGTGAGTGTCGTCAATCTGGAATAGTTGTTGAGCCCCGGTGTGAATGCCGTGAAAACCCCTCCTCGGGTAGCGCCTCGGCACGGGTGGGCGATTGATTTTCAAAGTGCGACCGTCCGGTGCGAACGAAACGAAAGCCCCTTGACGCACTTCGGTACAAGGGGAAAAAGAAAAGAAAGAAAAAAAAAAGAAAAAGTAGCCAGACTACGCCAACCAAAAAACTAGAGATTTGTCTTGATGCTGTCTGAGTAAGAGTTTTTGTGTGAAACTACGTTGAAAAAAAAGAGAAAGAATATATATATATATGCATATATTACACACATTCATATATATATATATATATACATATATATACATAGTGCAAAGGGTGAAAAAAAACGAGGAGGTCGACCTTCGCTTTTGACGAAAGAAAGGAGCGAAGGAGGCTGTAACGCGTGCATACCGGTCACCGGACACTCTCTTCCCTTTCCTTTCGCCACCTCAGGCGAACGCCCGAGGTTATCTGGGTACGCACGGTCTCTGAATTCTCCGTAACGACACCAGCGCAAAAGGTGCGTGTTACAACCGGGTAATATCTAAAATGGTGTCGCGAAATCGCGCGCGGCTGGGCCTTCACGTGACCTTCGTGTATTCCGTTGCCCCCCCAGCCACGAATTCCGCGCTGCCGCGTTTCGGTGTGGCTGCGGGTCGCACGCGACAAGATGTCCTCCGACGCGGGAGAACCGAGACGGTGACACGTTCGGCACGCGGACGCGCATCACCGAACGATGTCAAGCAAACGGCGGCGAAAACCACGCCGCCGCGGCCGCGCTGTTCATTGTATTTCCCTCTACCAGTGTGCACGACTCGCGGTGTTCACGACGAAACAATCTTACCGCGTATCGCGTATCGGGGCTACGTGAGTGCCGCCGGTAATTGGCATTGCCCTGGTAATGCCCGGGAGAGAAACTTCCACGCACTTGTTCGCGCGTTCACGCGTTCCGGTTCGGTTATGAGAAACGCGTAAAACACTGGACACAATCGGCGCGCGCGACGCCTTCCGAGGGCGATCTCTGAATTTGTTGGTTCGGCTCATTGAATGTCCACGCGACCAACATTTGTGGATCGTGGATCGAAGCGTACTACAATTCTGGACGTGCAGAGAGTGGCGATGGTAAGGTCTCGCGACGGGTGATTGTCCAGTACCCGCATATGGACTTTTTCCGCGATATTATTTATTCACAGAGAAAAAAAAACATGCATACACTTTTCTTCTCCTTCTTTTTTTTCCTTTTTTTTTTTGAATCTCGGGAGTACTAACTTCTCCGCGCTGCCTTGCCGCCGCAGGATGATACCGCATTTGTGACACGTAGAATTTTTGACATGTAGGCCAGTCGATCCAAGGGACGTGTGACACTGGTTCTTCTAGTGGTTCTCATGGCCATTAGTCCAACGTATTACCATCTTTATGGGCGTTCTGTCGTGTATTGAAAATTAACGTGTTCACTGCTCTCGCAGGAGTTCGGATCACCACAACTTTTCGCACCTCCTATACTTTCATTCTATACATCTCTGTCAGGTGAGTGTCTGCAAAGTTATATGAAACTAGGAGCATCGTGAAATTTATATTCATTCATAGATATATCTGTATATATTTAAAGTAATTACAGACATGGTAGTTGCATACGATGTAAATTTGTATTAATGCAAGATTTACAGTGTGTTTTGTATTTCAGGAATGTCGCGAGATTATGATAGACGAAGAGGAGGTAGCGGTAGTGGTAGCAGCTCTAGTAAGTTACGGATGGATACTAGTGTATCACAACCCAGGCCACATGGTGAGAATTCAGGAAAACGAAGAGAATTAGATAGTGTAATGAGAAAGGCACGCGAATCTCAATCAAGTTATTGGAACAAAAAGCTCTTAGAAGTAGAGGAACGTGATCCAAACAGATGGCGGCACAGTGGATATAAAGAATTATATGTTGGTGGCACAACAAGCGGAGAACCTAGTAGGGGACATCCTCGAAGTCCAAGAAGTCCTAGGCCTCGAAGTCCTCATATTCCAAGACCACGTAGTCCTAGAACCAGAAGCCCGCGTTCACCACGCGATAGATCACATACGAGAGGAAGACCTACGCGCAGTCCAAGCACAGGAAGTACTTGCTCAGATCGGTCATGCAGTGTCTGTTCACCAAAGGAGAGACGACGCATTGCTCAGCCTTCTCGTTCGCGTTCAAGATCGCTGACACCAGTTCGAGCTCGTGCACATCCAAAAGAAGTACCATCAAGTTCACGAGTAATACCAACTCGTACTAGACCAAGGTCACCTCCTTTGCCACGTCCACATACACCTCCACCCACGCCACAACCGCCACCACGTCATCAAAAGGACTATAAGACGATTAAAGAAAAAGAAACCAAAGTCCGACGTAAAGAAAAACATCACGCCAGAATTCCGGAAGATCCACGAGTTCCAGATCCTATTCCATTGGTAATTGTTCATAATTGATTATGATTTCTAGTCTTAAACTAGTATATTTCCATTAAAATTTTCAATATTTTTCTTCTATTTATACATCCCTTTTGTATTTCAATATATAATTATATTTAATATAAAATTTGTACAGATGCGTAAACCTGTAAAGGTAGAAAAAACTCACTCAAGTCATGGATCAACACAAATGATCAGGCCACCTCCCGAATCCTCACCTAGCGAAGATAGTGACAGTTCTTCCGCAACATCACATGTGGGCCCACCTAGAATGACGTTATCAGAGCGGTACGATTTAGTTATTAACATATTATAAAATTACAAGATTGAGTATATTACATTTAAAAAGATACAAAATAATATTATGAAACTGTTTTAGATTTGGTAAAATGGCACAATGGAGCGTAGATCGTAGAGATATGGAAAATATGCGTATTACAAAAGATGGAGAAAACGCGATGAAAGTAGTAATAGAGGGTGAAGAAAGAATTGCAAGACTAGGTTATGATTCCCCACCACCAGGACATTATCCCGAATCACTTTTAGCACAAGGCCCAAGAGGTTTAGAATGTTGGGATGATGTTCGTGTTAGATATGATTATTACAAAGCGAGAGGATACCTTCGAGATCTTACTTTAGATGATTATATAAAATGGGAAGAATGGTGGTATAAGTATCAAGAATGGTTAGAAGCAGAACGTTTTTACGAACAGTGGGCTTCTTCAAACCGTCCTTCCGGTGGAACTCGAAAGAGGCGTGGGCGACGTAACAACACAGCCCATTAAAATTTCATAAACTCATTACAAGTCATTCTCGATTCATAGACATTATCATTAATAAATACTGTAATATTTGTTGTGCTTAGAAAGGCGTGCAAGTGTGTAAAAGCTCTATGCAGATACGCATTCTTATAGAAATTAAAAATTAATTCTTATACGTGGTCTTATACGTATATATAAATGAATATGTACGCATACGGATACGTATATGTACTAAAAGATATGACTGTCTTGTAAAGAACTTCATTTTCATCGATTTATCAAGTAAAAAATTAATCTACAAAATTTTCGTATTTCATTTAATTATTTTATGTAATACTTTATATTCATCAAGATAGATTTAGAAATAAGCATGAACGTGTGTGACGAATTAATAATAATACTAAGATTTATTTTTGTTTATATTTTGCTTAATTTTGTGTCACATATTTTTTTATTTATGATAAACAGTGATTCTATGAAATTATTTTCTATTTAATATTTTAATTTTTTTCTGAACCTCATCTTAGTAAACAACTTTTTAATGACGTAAAAAATTATAATAAAAAAAAAAGATGAAACTGATTTTTGTATTTAAAAAAATGCAATCATAAAATAAATGTTTTTTTCCATCATTTCATTTTTTAAAACAAAATTTAAAAAAATCTAATTTTTTAAATGTACAGGGTATTCCAAGTTTCATCAACTAACTAAACTTTATCTGTAAATGGTATTAAGATATAAATTTAAGTAAAAAGTAACATTTAAAGCTTTATTATAAATTATAATAAAAATACAAAGAATATCATTGTAATTGATTTTATGTCATTAAAATTTTACATGTCAATAACTTTTGAAAAGAAGATATATATATATATCAACAAATTTAATATTTATTGAAATGAATTTCATGTTACTGTTTTTTTTTTCATATTTCATATTTTTATTATAATTTTGTAATAAAATCATAAAATATACAGATAAAGTTTAACTAGAAAAATCTAGAAAATCCTGTATTTTATTGATACATTAATCAACATATAAATTACAAAATCATGTTTAAACTTGACAAAATTATTTATTATTGCCTTATTAAAAGTCTTAACTTATAATAAAATTATATCTAGAATACATTATAGGTACATTATAAATTTATATAATTTAGTTTCCAATATATTTTTAATCGAAAAGTGCTTTTAATAATCTTGGTTCCATATTATGGATTTTATATATTAAGATTTGTTAAATAAAATTATGAAGTAAATTATAATAAATTGGATGAATTCTTTTTCTTATCAAATTAAGAAATAAAATTTATCTTTATTTAAGAATCTACATACTTTATCTTATAAGAAAATAATTTTCAAGTATATAAGCTATAATTTTATATATAAAACAAACATAAAAATATATTTAGAAATTTGTGTATTATTCTTTCTGTTTTATATATCTTTATAAAAATTTATCGTAATAATTGTATTGAGAAATATATTAATAATTCCTTTTCTAAGTAATTTTAAAAAAAATTGCGGTATTGAACACAGATAAGATAATGTATGAGGTTAAAAGTTTATCAGAAATGAAATATCCGTAAATAAGAAGATTCATACATGAATTGATAATTAACAGTTAGACTGGCACTAAGTAATAAACTGAAAAAGAGAAAGTAAAAATGGCATCACAGAAGATTGTAAGAAAAATAATATCGTCTGCATTGAGTCCAAAACCTGTTGGACCATATAAGTAAGCAGCATATACGTTTTTGATTATTTAAAATTTGTCAATTCTTACATTATGAATTGTATAATATATATTTTTCACTTATTTAGAATAAAATCTTTTCAATGCAATAGAAAATAAAATTACTATATACAAAATTGTATACAATGTAACAACTAATTTTATTTTGATAGTCAAGCAGTACTTGTAGATCGTACTTTATATTTGTCCGGATCGCTTGGTGTTGATGTCAAAACTGGAGAACTCGTTAGTGGAGGTGCTGTTGCAGAAGCTCGTCAGGCTCTTATAAATATGGGATATGTCTTAAAAGAAGCTGGATCTGATTATAATAAAGGTTCCACCTATACATTTAGAAAATTATATATAATTTTTCTATTTTCTAACCTTTAAATTTGATATTATTTTATTAAATTTGAATATTTTTAAATTTGAATTTATATTTTTTAATTGTAAAACAATTGATGAACATTATTATTGGCAATATTTCGTATAAATATCTTAAACATTAATAATCAATTTATTCTTCATATTTATTTACAGTTATTAAAACAACAATTTTCTTAGAAGATATGAACAATTTTGGTGGTGTAAATGAAGTCTACAAAGAATGTAAGATTTTACTTTATATTTTAATTTATATACATATACACATATACTTTTTTTTTAATTTAGTTTTCACAGAAAATTATCCAGCTCGATCTACATTCCAAGTTAGCAAATTACCAATGGTAATGAAAGAGTACATATATACACATCTTTGTATAATCTAATCTAATTACTAACATCAAATATAAAATATTATTGTAGGGAGCAAAATTTGAAATCGAAGCTGTTGCTGTTGTTGGTGAGCTAGAAACAATTTGAATATTCCAAGTTAAATTAAATTACATTTAATTTTTACAAACAAAATATAATTCAACTTGTACAAACAAAATATACTTGTTTTCAAATTATGTGTATGATAATTGAGTTCTTTCATCATCTTTATATTTATTTCTACAGATTTATTTCTTAAATAAACAATAATAATATAGCGAATAACAATAATAATAATGAAAATTACCCTTCTTAAATTATATTAAAATTTATTACATTTTTGTACTAGTAAAAAAATAAATGGTATAAATATTCTATTATTTTCTTTTATATGTCAGATATAACAAAAAAAACAACTTAGAATAAATTATAAATATCTTGTATTACAAAAATATATATCTACTTATATTTATTAAAAATATATATGTATATTTATTTTTAAGTTATTAATTTGTAAACAAATATATATATATATATAAAATAATATATAAATATATATATAAAATATATATAAAACAAAAACTATAATAAAATGATAAAGACAGTTTTGCTTCATAAAATGAACAAAATCGTGAATATTTGTGTTTATTGTGAAAATATATTTAAAATGTTTTTAACAATTAAATATTATCGTATCTAATGAACAAATAATAAATGTGAATAGAAAATATTGGGTTGATGCAAAATTGTTGTTCTTTTCATAAGAAACATTACCAAAGCATAAAATGCTCGCTTTCTAATCTAATTAATTAATAATAAACCGATATAATACCAATTAAACTTAAAGTAATCTTTAACTGATATTAATTATTAATAAGCTTCATCATTGAATATTAAATAAATAGTATAATAATATACATACAATATTTGTTTATAACAACACTATAACAGTACATGTACAATATTGGTTCATAACAATAGTGTAATTGTATATATAAAATATTTGTCTGTTTTTTCCTTTTTATGTCTAGATTACACAGTTTGGCCGTTAAGTTCGAGATACTTTATATATATCTAATAATGAAGTTTGCAAATCAGATTATTGTTGCATTTGAAGAGTTTGAACTTTTTCTGATTGATTAATATAAAATGCTTTAAAATAAAATTTATATATAATTAAGTGTCGTAGAATTCAAATTATAATTTTCAAATTAAATTTTTAATTTCATCATTACGACAAATATTTTTCGCTTTACAGGCGAAATTCCCTAACAGGGAATATATATATAACGTAGATGAATATATTTTGCATGATAGTTACTAAAATAATATTAATATTAAAGTAATTAAATCATATTAACAAAAATAATAAATAAAATAATAATAACTTATTACTAATAATATTAATTAAAATTAGAAAATATTATTTTGGTAATCTTGAAACGCTGCATAGTGGCAATTACGAACTTGAATGTAGGAGTATATAAGCTTATATAGTTCAGGTTACTTATAGATATCATAACCTCTTTTCTCCTTTTGGAACGAACTTTACCACGTGTAAGTGTCGTTCCCGGATTTTCGTCTTGTATTCTGTTTCATCCATACTTAGTTCTTAGTTTTTCTACGCACTAATTGACAAAATGCCTCCTAAACTTGATCCTAATGAAATTAAAAAAGGTATGTTCAATATATATTTTAATATATAGAAAAAGAAAGTAAAATCTTGTCATACGTGTAATTTGTGTTATTAGTTTATCTTAGATGCGTTGGAGGCGAAGTAGGAGCAACTTCATCTCTAGCTCCAAAAATTGGTCCTCTTGGTTTGGTAAATTATATTTATATTTTATAAATTTGAATTACATAGAAATAACATTTTTTTTCTAGTTTTTAAAGGTATGATATTTTATATTTGTAGTCTCCAAAAAAAGTTGGTGATGATATCGCTAAAGCTACCAGCGACTGGAAAGGTTTGAAGATTACTGTACAATTAACGATTCAGAACAGACAAGCCACGATTTCGGTAGTTCCATCTGCTGCATCTTTAATCATCAAAGCACTAAAAGAACCTCCTAGAGATCGTAAGAGACAAAAAAATATTAAACATAATGGAAACTTGTCGTTTGACGATATTCTTTCCATTGCTCGATCAATGAGACCAAGGTCCATGTCAAAGTACCTTAGTGGTACTGTTAAGGAAATACTAGGAACTTGTCAATCTGTTGGATGCACAGTTGAAGGTAGACCACCACGAGATCTTATTGAGGAAATTAATGGTGGAAAACTCCAAGTTCCAGATGAGTAATGGTAAGTTTAGAGCTCCTTGCTAATACTTTTAGCACAATTTCTTATTGTTTTATATTTGAGTTTTTCATATAGTTAAAATGAGAAAAAAATAAGTAAGATATTGTGATGAAAAGTATTAACTTTGAGCTCTTGGTAGGGGTTAGCATCCCATCCACCTGATTAGCTGTAACAATTTACAGACTATCAGGGATATTGCTATTGAGGAGAAAACCTCAATAAAAAATCATCACTTTGTATGGTATAAATATATAATATTTTAATTTTAAAAATTTTATATTTTCATTGTTTCAGATTTGTCATAAGGAGTAAAAAAATAAAACATTTTTAATATGAAAGTGTCGTATTTTTATTTGCATTCCCTCTTTTTAATACAATAAATAGATTGAAAATATTTTAATGTATCATATACTTTGTACAAAATGAAAGATGAACACTAAACATCCATTCATGTAACATATTTGTTACTACATTAATTTAATTTTTAATATATTAATTATAACAAGTATATCATATAGCTATAACTGATGATTTATAGTAAGATTGATCTTTAAACATGTTGCAACTATTCATTCTCATCCATATAAAATTGCGTAATCTATTCTTATTTTAAATCTTATATCGTTTTATAAATTATTTTTTAGCGTTTTTATTGTTTAAATGTATGTCCATGTATTTATTATTAACTTATTTGCTAATTACATCACTAAGAAAATTATAATTTAAAAGTTTTTTAACCATTTCATCAAAAAGTTATAAAATGTAAGTGTTTGGACAATTGAACAGAATTTTAACTATTATCCAGATAATGACAATTCAAGACAATTCAAATATATACTATAGTCGGCGTATTAAGCGCATTTATTATTGATAAATTTTTTCATAACATATTGGAAAATCATAATTATTTATGTTTTATTTTATATGTTTCAACAAGACTAATTACATCAAAACAACAATGAAAAAGACTTTAATATCAAAAAATTTGTTTTCTTATAATAGGATTAACAATTCATTCCCCTAAAACATATCCTCGTCCCCAATTATGACCGCCAAATGTATTTCTAGTTTGTGTCTGCGTTCTTTGCGTAGGAACAGCTCCGAACCACCTGATATTACCTCTATGCGATGGAAAATAAGATTCAAGGATCTTTGGAGTATTCAAAAATTCAGGTCCACCAAGTTCCTGGGGATATTTAAATTTCAAAAATACATAAAGATGTCCTACTAAGATACCAAACAGTTCCATCATGCCACCTCCAGAGATAATGAGATTAAATGCAAATAATACCCATGGTAAATATACTGCCTTAAATTGTGTACCTGTTAGTTAAAAAAAAAGCATATAATAACTATTAGAACGATTATATTCTTAAAGATATATTACAATGTTAAAAAAAAATTGAAAATTTGTAATTTTGTATTTGTAATACTTTGGATACTTACCAAACCAGAAATTAACAATGGCATCTTTATTTAATTGACACCAAATGTACAATATGCTGAGTACCATAGGATCCATAAGAAAATGGAATTCACCGATAAGTCCTATGATAACGCAGCATATCCAGTTGAATAGAAGTAAGAAGCAATAATCTGCTGGTCGGCCGTCATATTCCCCACGTTCTAACCTCAGTGAATAATTATATAGGAAATAACAATTAATCATGAAATGAAATCCTGTGCCAGGATTGAGAGGATAGAAGAAAACGCTGGTCGCTGCTCTCCAAATTTCGAAGTTGTTTATGAACCGATCGTTTATAAGTATTAGCGAGGTCGGGCTTACCAATCCAAATCTTCCGACTAATGTACAAACTATTGTACATAACAACCAGTATCTTGTAAAAATTGGCAAAGAATTAAACCAGTTTCTCACGTCCGACATTTTTTTGCAACTTTTGCGTTAACAGTATAATTGATGCGACACCCGATTCTGCACGTAAGTACAACTCAGTATGACAATGTATGACGTGGGATTATTTAGTGACTAAACGACACCATGTAGATTAGGTTAGAACGTATAACAACAGACTCAGTGCTTCAGTTTAAATTTTTATAATTGTATCTTGAAAGGATAGAAAAAGTATAAAAAAGAGACTAAAATATCGTGAGCATGTGATATAGAACAAGAAATAACGTAAAAAAAAATTTTTTTTAATTTTTCGTATTTTTACACCGTATACACATCAATTATACATACAACACAATGATATTTCGTGAAATTAGAGATAGAAAAATAAACGTTTTTGAAATTTATATTAAGTTTTTTTATATAATAATGTTGATTGTATACAGTTGTATTAAAATAAATATCTATATAATTGTCTCTATATTTATGTTTAAACTGAAAATTAAGTTATATATTAAATTAAAATACAACTTTATTAAAACTTCCTTAGTAGTTACATTACTGTTATAAAGTTTTTGTATCACAAAGAATATGAAAGCAATTTATACAAAACTGTTTTATTGGCGTAACAGCAATTTAGAAATATTAATCAATAACAAAATTGACAGTGGTTATAAAATGTACATACATTCATATAGTTTATACTAATAATGTATGAAAAATTTTTAATACTATTTAATATGAAGGATTCATATTTTGTTGTCTTTTGCTCTTTAACAATATTTATACAACACCAAAAATAAATTATAAAATTTATTTTAAAATGTTCCATTATGAAATGTAATGTAAAACATTTGTTTTCAATATTTTAAATGCACAATAAGAATGAGACACAGTTTTTAGTTTAATATATCACGGGTTGGAAAATGTGAGAATGTGTTGCAAAAGAATTATTACAATATATAAATGTAAAATCATACTTCCTATTTACACACGACAATCACGCACACGTATATTAACATAACTTAATCATCAGTTCTCTTAAACTTTCGTTGCCTAGGACTTTGTCTTGGAGTTCTAGGAGACTTATCTGCAACAAAGATTATTATATAAAATATCATTTTACATTTTATTTAAATTAAACAAAGTATTTAACACTTACTAATTCTATTTAATGTCTCTTTTGGCAACCAGTCGTAATCTACATTGTTAGGGTTGGATGTACCCATTTCAACAGGTGTTTTGCGAGTATTAGAAGATCGAGATTTACGACCAAGAGATGAAAGGAGTTGTTGTCCTCCTACTAGTGTCAATATCACACATGCTGCCAGAAATACATATAAGAAAATTGTTTCTCCATCAAGACCATCATCCAATTCTATTATTTGTACAGTTTCATTGTAAACAGCTTCATTGAAGCTAATACCATTCTGTAAAATCATGAAAACCTATCAATTTTTTACAATACCTTTGAAATTAAATATTAAATATATTACGTACAGCATCCTTATAATTTAAATTGATATTAAAACCAAAAGGTCTTCCGGCAAGATTTTCAGATGGAATAAACGAATATGCCAATGTTGCTTCATGTTTTGGTTTTACAATTTTATTATATGTAACGGTCGAGAAATTTTGAATATAAAAGTTAAAGTCCATAGCATAGCGGAAAGAGGCATCCAAAGACTCAAGAATAAAGTCAGATTCACCTTTATTGGTGAAACCAACAAGAAATTCAACTAAATTTCCAGCTGGTAATTCTGAAAAAATAAATAAATAAATCTTAATTTCATATATATATATAAAACTCAATATAGTTTGACAAAATTAATACAATACATACCTAATGTTGATAATCTATTATAAACTGGTTTAGTAAACAATATAGTTGTATCAGCATCAGATGAAACAGTGGCTGTTTCATCTTCTGATTCTTCATCTGTTATTACAGAATTATCTTCCCCTTCAATATCCACAATATCATCTATATTTTCATCTTCCTGAGCATAAACTGCAACAGAAATCAAAAATGCAAAATAATTATTTACACATAAATTACAGCTACATGTATAATTGACAACTAATTCGAACAATATGATTTTAATTCATTATATAAAATTCATTAAGTGAGGTTGAATTTTTTTTTTTTTTTAACATAAAATACTCTGTACACAACATATTGAAATGCTGAAAAAGAAATGACTACAGTTTTTCTGCATTAACAATATATACGCGACACAAATGTAAATCGTAAGGTGTTAAACGAATATTGGTTAACATTCTTTATTATGTATTACCTCTGTTTACTGTGAAAGTAATCGTGGAAATAAAAAATAATAAAAAAACGCTAAACTTCTTCATTTCGTTGCGTTGCCTTAAATCTAACTTTTCTGTTATGAAAAAGCAGTTTATCCCACTTTCTGAACACTCACTTTAAATCACCACTCGACTACACTGCCTCGGAACAACACGACCGGCTACCATCGCTAGTTGCGACGTGGAAGGACAGCAACGCAATCGTCAATCCTACAACGTGGAACATTAGCGTAACGTTGGCATTAAATAAAGGACATCAGAAATAAGAAATTTCATATTGCCAACATGCGAAATATAAATGCTAATAATCTCTCTCTCTCTCTCTCTCTCTCTCTCTCTCTCTCTCTCTCTCTCTCTCTCTCTCTCTCTTTCAAAAATCTAAATTTTAAACAAAATGTCCAATGAAAATAACTTGAAAATGACTGAAAATAACAAGAAAATATATTATCCACATTAGTATTATATTATGTGTATTATCATGTATACTAACATGTATTATTCATATTAGTATTGTATGTATTATTCATATTAATATTATATGTTTATTATGTATTTTGCAAAAATGTATAATCTATAAAATAAAAAATACACACAAATTATGTTACATAATTTGATAAATATGTGTATTTATAGTCACTAAAAGATTTATCAGTACCAATAAAATCACATGTAAAGTAACCAATAAGAAAATGTATACATATGTGTTTTATATTTGTTTTTCAGTAATTATTGAGGCTTGGGCAATTATCTGCAGAGAAAAAGAAATTTGAATAGAGTATTTGTGTCTGTGTTGAAGATTAATTTAATTTATTTTCAATTATTCGAATTTTTCCGTAAATGCGTGTACATGAAAACACACAGTAACAAAAAAATCGATCACCATATTTATATTCCATAGAATTAGAAAGTAAAGTTTACATGTGTCATATTGGCTTGTTTCTCTCGTATAAATAGTTTATAAAGGTATTAGAATTTTTATGTATTTATTGCACTATAACTTATTATAAATTAAACTTAGTAAACTAAATTATTTTATTTATCTACTAACATTACATTTGTGTTACTAATATTAATCTACATTAAGAGATCTATAAAATCAAAATGTTAAACATCAATTTAATCTTTATTAATATTACAGATTACAAGCATGGATTGTGATGATTTCTTCTTTGAAGAAGATAAAATGTTGGTTTCATACAATTAATTATTCATTTACCAATATGTGTTATGTTTCAATTTAAATACGCTTCTTTTTTCTTGCAATATGCATGTTTGTATGCTACGGTGCGGTGGAATAGTCTAGTGGATCAAACAGAATCTTCTACAAGTATTTTTATTTCGACAAACAATGTCGAGGAATGTAAAGACGACTTTGTTTCATTGACCACCGTGCCATCAGCTAATGTGCAATTGCATCAATTTACTACAATGGAAGATCGCATGTATGCATGTTTATGTTTCACTATTTTGTCTTTCATTAAAGTACTTTATATTAATATTTTCTTTACTATATATATCAAGAAATGTTAAAGAATATATATTTTCTATTTATTTTGAAATCATTGCAAAATGTAGACCAGATGTAGAACTGGTCAATCAAGACCAGTCTCTTCATCATCTACCTAATAATACGTAAGTTTTCATAATCATGTGCTTACTGTTAAAGTTATATTTTAATATTAATTTGTTTATAGTGTTTTATAGAAATTCAATACCTTTTAGTATAATATTTTTAAACATTTAATTATTATCAAAATATTCAGGTAAGGATTTTTTAAATGATAATTCAACGTAAATTTGTGTTTGAATTGTTTTATTATTTCTTATTTACTTAGCTTTATTTTATAATATGTTATCAGTATAAGCTTTTAAAATTATTTTATATCTAGTACTATGCACAGTTTTGAATGCTAAATATATATATTATATATTATAGTAATATAATTTATTATACAGGGTGTCCCAGCATCGATAGTAAAATTGGGAAGTGGATGATTCTACATTAAAAAAAAAGTCGAAAAAGAAGAATAAAATTTCATATAAGGTTTAGTTCTTGAGAAAATTAAATTTAACAATTTATCAAGTATACTTGAGTTTGGCTAATTCTGAACCTGGCAGAAATGAATGATTAGTAGAATTTTATCCTAAAATAAGTTGAAAAATAAGCCAAAAATGTAGAATAAAATACAAGTACACATGTACCAAGCGTAATTTTTAGCGAAATACATTCAAAGTTTATTTTTATAAAAATAAAATTAAATGAAAAATTTTATTCTATGTTGTTTATTTTTGCACGTTTTTTACTTATTCTTGTATTTCCTGTTAATTATTCTTTCTTGTTGCATTTAGAATTGGACAAATTCCAGTATGCTCGATAAATTTTCAAATTCAGTCTTCTCAAAAACAAAACGTTTTACAAAAAAATTTTATTCTTTATTTTCGATTTATTTTTTTTTATGTAGAACCATCCCTTTCTTGTATCGCTGGGATTTGTTATATGTATATAATAAATAATAATATTTGTAAATAGTTTTATATAAATGTATAGTATACTGTGTATTTATATTATTATATAATTATTTATAAAATATATTACTAATTTATTATTGTTGCTATTGTAATAAATATATTTGTTATTTATTTTATGAATATAAATGTGGAAATAAAATATAATTGAAATAAATATTATACAAATATATTAACACATTATTTTGTTTTATTAATTTATGCAGGGGTATGACCATAACTTCTGGCAATGTTGTGATACAAAAAGATAGCAATAATCTTATAGGCATAAGTATTGGAGGTGGAGCACCACTATGTCCTTGTCTGTACATTGTACAAATTTTTGATAATACACCTGCAGCAATAGATGGTACTTTACAATCAGGAGATGAAGTTGTAGCAATAAATGGAGTATCAGCTAGAGGAAAAACAAAAATAGAAGTTGCAAAAATGATACAATCTTCAAATTCTCAAGTCAGTATTAATTATAACAAATTACATGCTGATCCCAAACAAGGTCGTACTCTTGATATAGCTTTAAAAAAGGTATTTATTATTTAAAAATAAGGTATTTATTACTATTAACAAATGATTATACGATTCTAATACTTAAGTTTAATTTCAGGTGAAACATAGGTTAATTGAAGGAATGGGAAGTGCAACAGCAGATGCACTTGGATTATCACGTGCTATTCTTTGTAATGATGCACTTGTGCAACGATTAATGACATTACAGCGCACAGAAAATTTATATAGAGGTTTAGTTTCTCATGCTAAAGCTACTTTACATGCTTTTTTTGACTTAATACAAGTGTACAAAGGTATTTTTATAAAACTTTAATTAATATATTAATATTTTCCGTTATTTCAAATATATTGCATGTTTTAGTATTTGGAGATGCCTTCGCTGCGATAGGAGTAAAAGAACCACAACCACGGGCTAGTGAAGCATTCAGACAATTTGGCGAACAACATAGGCAAATGGAAAAATATGGAATAATGACATTAAAAAATTTAAAACCTATATTGAATGATTTAGGCACATATCTTCACAAAGCTATTCCAGATACTCGATTAACCATAAGCAAATATGCCGATGCAAAATTTGAATATCTTTCTTATTGTTTGAAAGTGAGAGAATTAGATGATGAAGAACAAAGTTATGTATCATTACAAGAACCTCTTTATCGAGTAGAAACAGGAAATTATGAATATCGTCTGGTCTTAAGATGTCGACAAGAAGCTCGTGCAAGATTTGCAAAACTTAGATCGGACGTACTTGTAAAACTAGAATTATTAGACAATAAACATGTCCAAGATGTTGTATGGCAATTGCAGAAATTCGCAGCTGGTTTAGCGAAATATTATTCTAGCACCCGAGATTTATTATCTTCTGTCACGTTATTTCCTGTTGAAGTTGATTTATCACATTCTGCATTTCAATATAAATCTACTGGTCCTCAAGTAATAACTGATGGAGAAGATGTGGATGAATTTGAACCTGAAGAAAAAGCAAATATAAATGAAGATTTACTTATAGATACACAGAACTTCCCACTAATAACATCAGAACCTAATGATCTGTAGCAATGTGTTCTTTGTTTGCAGAAGATTTTAGGAACTATTATGTGTGTGCATGTGAAATATGGATAATATATACATATATATATATCAAACATTTTTCAGTATTATATATATTTCTATTATTTTTAATGGAATTCTTGTCTTAGTTCAATTTTTTTCCATAATACAAAAAATGATACCAAAGATTAGTATTTTAAAAAAATAACGTAGTTAGATATGTATAAAAAAAGTATACATGTGTATATATAATATATTTTATATACAGGATGTTTGTGAATTTATTAGTCAGCCTTTTTGTCATAAACTATAAGTATGAGAAAAAAAATGAAAGAAGAAAAAGTAGTACTTTTGCAAACAATATCATTTTGTTGCTTGCAAAAAATAGTATTACTTTTTCCTCTTTCACTTTTTTTCTCATACTTAACGTTTACGGAAAAAACGCTGACTGGTAAATCGGCGAACATCCTGTATATATTTTAGTATTTTTTATTGTTTTGAAAATATTTGGATTTTATTTTAAAATTCCCTTCATACTGTAAATACTAATTATAAGGTACAAAAATGTATTTGTTACATTCCACATTCTTATAATAAATGTATATTCTATATCGTGTGAATATTATTTCGAGCAAAATTTTAAATATTTTAAAGTTTTGAGTATAGTTAAATTGTTTAAACATTTTTAAAAGTAGTTTAATATGAAATTTATTTTCTCTAATATCAGTTACATAATTATTATGATATTCTAATTATTATGATATTCTTTTGAATGACCTCTGTCGTCGATACGACATGAAATTTTGAGAAGAGGATGGGAAGGAAATATAAAATTTTGGCTTTTATTAGTTTTTCAGATACTAATAAGAAACTTTCAGTACAATACATTAAATTCTGCTTATACAGACATTACTAATCAACGGTCTTCGCTGTGGTAGTTGCCGAAGAGCGATGATAGGAAGCAAATAGTGATAATCGCCTCAGTATCTGTAATCTATAGGGTGTTTCAGTAACTTGATATGTACTCGATGTTTATTATTATTAATAAACATCAGCCATTTGAATTATCAAATGATTAATTTTTGATAACGCAATTAATTCGCTAGATTTATCAAGGAAATTGTGATTGTTTACCATGAATACATATAGCACAAACGAATAGAATAGGAATTGACAATGGGATTGTTGACGGATCCTAGAGCAGGATCTGGAAAAATAATAAAATTTTTATTGAAATGGGAACGGCCACTCTGTTTCTTCTTATATATCAGTGGCATTGTTTGGATATTACTTCTTGCTCTACCCATATTCAACGATAGTAAGTATAAGAGAAATTGCATAAATCAAAATTAGGTTATGTTTTATATCGATAAAGTAAGTAATTAATATCACAAATACTGTTTATTTTTGTTAATTATAGTCATATAGAAATGAAATAAAATTTAGAAAACTAGTTTTAGTTTATTATCAATAGTGTGTTCAGCATACATTAACATGGTATATCTATTTTATGGTGTTCAAATATTTTGTATATGGATCAACTATACATAATACTGTTTGATCAACTATACATAATAATTCTGATTAAAATAAGAAAAACATTATTTATTAATGTAACATGTAACAATTTGTAATATAAATGTAACAATTCTTTTTTTAACATATCTTATTAAAATAATTCTGAACTTTATTTCATTTACTAAATTTATAAAGATGTATAGTGCAGAATTAACAAGTTAGTAATTAAACATAATATTATGTAGAATTGAAATAAAAATCAGATATACTTTGTATATATAAAAAAGTAACTAAATCAGTTACTTTTAGTTAATATTAGTAGTAATATAGAAATTTTAAATATACTTTTTAAACATATAGATACCTACTTTTCCGAGAATGCTTTATTGCCAGGATTAGTTACTAAAGAAAGTAACTTGGAACAAACAACGAAACAATATTATACACACTTAATCAATGAAATGAAACGATATCCTGATGTGATGCCATATGCATGGTTGGCTGCTAAATTAAATCAACTTCATTTAGATGTTTTTACGCATAATTTCACATTAATATACCCTTTTCAAGAACAACAGGTAAATAAAAATATCTTTTATTTTCATTAGGAGGTTTTTCTGATATTTCTTAAAATTATTTATTAAGTGAATTTCATATTATCAAAGGAAGAAAAGTTTTTAGAAGATATGAAAATTTAAGATACAAATGTTTAATACAAATATAAATGTTATTATATTTTATAGTTTATAGGCCAGAATATATATGGGATTATAAGAGCTCCAAGAGCAGCTAGTACAGAAGCAATTGTCGTTAGCGTTCCTTTTAGACCAATTCACAGTATTTATTTAGATACTGCACCTTCCATTGCTCTTCTTCTTGCATTTGCTAAATTTTGTAGGAGTAAGTATTTGCATAAAATATAATTAAATATTTTAAAAATAATCTTGATAACATTCTATGTACAATAAATAGAAAATATCATATTTGTATTACACATAGAAAATCATAGAAGAGAATATAATAATAAGTAGAAGTTTATTTAGTTTATATTTTTATATCTTTTGTAATATATTAAACAATTTTATTTTAATATTATAGAACAGAAGTATTGGGCAAAGGATATCATATTTTTAATAACAGAACATGAACAATTAGGAATACAAGCATGGTTGGATGCATATCATGGAGTTACAAGTGGTAATGGAGGTGTACTTATATCTGGAGATCTTCCTGGTCGTGCTGGTTCCATTCAAACTGCTATTAATTTGGAATTACATTCAATGAAGATTGCATCTATTGATGTTAAAGTATATTCTAATTTTTCTTTTTGTTCAATTCTAATTAGAATTTAATTACTAAGAGTAGATTTTTAGAGTTTAACTACTAACAAGTAATAAATAGTGAAAGGTTCTTCTTTTTTTTGTAAAATTTGAACATTAACATAAATTTATATACAAAAATCTTTCAGTAATTTATTTAATTACAATTATACACTCTTCATCTAATAAAATTAAAATTTTGAACTGTGAAAATAAGTAAAAGATATTTCTAATGTTTAAAAGTCTAAAATTCTGAAAAATATTGTTCTGTCTAGAATAATATAGAATTTTCTTGTTTTCTAGATAGAAGGATTAAATGGTCGACTACCTAATTTAGATCTTTTTAACTTGGCACAAAATATGATAGCTAAAGAAGGAATTCGACAATCATTCCAAAGACGTTTCGATGTTAAATATAAAAATAAGTTTAAGAATTGGTGGTATCATTTTAATACGCTTTTAATGATGATTACAAGTCAGGCTACTGGAATTCCAACAGGAAATCATGGACTTTTCCACAGGTATACAGTTATAATACAGTTATGAAAGAATCATTGTCAATTTGTTGTTTATAATATCTTGGCATATGCATATATATATATATATATGATACCATTTACAAATCTAGAAACATGTTTTCTATTCAGCATACTTTTCAAAATGTTCACAATGTTGCAAAAATTAATGGCGTTAATCTGCATAATACATACGAAAAGTGTTCTAGATTATATATTTTATTTGATTGGTTTGATTTATAATTAACTCATATTTTATTAATATTAGATTTGGTATTGAAGCAATTACCTTAGAAGGTTTTGAGAAACCTGGTCAACAAAGTTCTGACGGAAATTTTTATCAAGTTGGTCGTATTGTGGAAAGTATAGTACGATCGTTAAATAATTTATTAGAACGTTTTCATCAATCTTATTTTTTTTATCTGCTTCCATCAACAGATACCTATATTTCTATTGGTGAGTAAAATATTATATAATGAAATGAAAGAATACTTGCTAATAAAAATATGTTATTAAAAAATCATCGAAGAATTTGCAAACTTTATTTGAAAAATAAAGTTCATTGTAATATATAATTATATACATAAACAGTTTGTCCATATATATTTAGTAATGAGATATAAATGATTACTCCTGGAAAAATATTTTAGGACTTTACATAAGATCTTTAGCTTTAATTATTGGTGGAATATTTGTAAAAGCATTTTCTATGTGGCAAAGACTTCAAGTATCTGCTTCTACAGAAGATAAGAAAAACACTGTTGTTAAACAATCAAAGGTTTGTTTCTTTGATTGCGCTCTTAATGTATAAATAATATTAATATAACAAATTATTAATTTAATATAACGAAGTATTATGTAATTATAATGTATTTTATAGGATAATGGATTTGATATTGGCGTCATTACATCAGAAATATTGTGGGCTCATATTTGTGGCGTTGCGATTGCAACATCCCCATTCGCACTTACTTATGTTGGTAAAAAAATGGATTTTCGTACAGAGGATTCAATATATTTTGGTTTTGTGGCAATAACTATCTTAACATTAATATGGCCATTTTATTCTAGAAGGTAATACTTGTATTAATGTATTAACTCGTACTATTACAAATTGTACTTAAATGAATTTTTATTACTTTTAGACAAATTAAATATAAAAATGCAGCTTTAATTTGTGTGATTGCATTAGTGGAATTAGGCACTGTATTAATGTGTATAGCAATGCATAATTTTTCCTTAGCACTTCTTGCTGCTGTAATTTATGTACCTTATGTATTTATTCTACCAATCATGCCGAAACAAAATTTCACCAAGTAAGTATACTTCGAAGATTAAATTCGTTTTAGATTCAAACACAATTACTACAGTAATTACTACATTAAAATATTTAAAATATTGTACTTGATTAATTACAAATTATTGCTTTTCAATTCTTTTATATTTAAAAAAAAGATAGAATTTAAAAAAAATTGAAATATTATTTACAATTAATAAATTTATAACAAAATTATGTTACAGGTTTCACAGAATGCTTTCTTTTGGGTGGGTTTCTCTACATCCATTTATGATTGCAAGTTTAATCATAATGTGTTATACATACGTGAATTTTTCTTCTGATTCTTTGCCCTTGATTTTGTTTCGGGGATATCGTGCTATAAAGCAAGCATTTGTTTTCAGTATTATGGATTCAATGATCTATGGAAATTGGTTATACAATGTGACAATTTCCACAATGTTTCCTATTTGGTTTTTATTTTGGAATATTTTATGTTCTAATATATTGTAAAATTCTGATATGTATAATTGAATCCTTTTGTAATAAAGTTATAATTGTCAAATTATTGTCATTATGATTATTATTATTATGTATATAAAAAACAATTCCAGGTAGTCAAAATTATTTGGATTGTAAAGCTGATGATGTAAAATGAATGAAAGCTGTCTAATTGTTTTTATCTTAATATAAATGTTAATTGGTTAAAGAATCATTTTATATGAAAAAGCAAATACATTTTGAAATGTTGGAAGCAAATACATTCATACTAAAAGCATAAGATTTGTGTTCATTACAAGGTATGTTCTTTCTATCCTTCTAATGTATGTATATATCTTTATAATTAATTTTTTGAAAGAAGATATATATATATGTGTGTGTGTGTGTGTGTGTGTGTGTGTGTACATATGATGTTTATATCTTTAAAATGTTCGAATGCTGAATAAATTTAATTTTGCTACTATGTTCAATTTTGCATGTATATGATTATAAAATATCTGTATTAATTTTTTACACAATGAAAAACAACTATTGCTGCTCCTTCGCGAATTAAAGTTTTAATCTATTTTTCATATATGCCGCCATTTTAACTGTTTCCGTGGAAACCATAAAAACAAACTTTTATACAAAGTGAAATAATGTGTAAAATTTTATTGTAAAATTAAGTTTTCCATATGTATATGTGTACATGTGAATGAATAGAAGAAACAATGAAAGCTTCTCCTACTTGGGTTGATAAGGTTCAAGATAAATCCGAACGATGGTAAATGTAATGTTTGGATATGGAATAATTCAAAATTTTTAATGTTTATTATAAATACTTGTAAATAACAAATAGTAGTTATATTTTTAAATTAACAATCGTTTTAAACAATATTAATAATTATACTTTTATCATTCATTACGCTTTAAATGTATTTATTGTTTTGTAACATATAAGTATATATATATAAGCAAAGAATCTTTTTTTCACAAAAATTAGAATCTCTTTATTGATAGTAATAATTTTTATTTTATGCCCTTAATAATTTGTTAATTACTGATCTTTTGATATAAAAATTTTGCGTAACATAAAAAGATGCTTTATTGTATTATTTTATACATTATTATATTATTTTATACATTATTTTGTACTTATTTTTTACTTATTATTATATTAATATTTTTGCAATGTTTGCAGTATATATGATTTATGTTTTAATCCGGATGGAACTCAGTTAGTTATTGCTGCTGGACAGCAAGTTCTTGTTTATGAAACTAACGAAGGTACTTTGATTCAACCATTAAAAGGTAAAAGAACTTGTAAAACCAAATAAATGATCCAATTTAATAAAATATGAATTATATTTCTATTTATACTTTGTAGGACACAAGGATATAGTTTATTGTGTATGTTATGCAAGAGATGGTAAAAAGTTCGCATCAGGCAGTGCTGACAAAAGTGTTATTATTTGGACATCAAGATTAGAGGGCATACTTAAATATTCGTAAGCTATTTTTATTTTGTTACTTAAAACCAAATTTTCTATTTTTTAATACAACACAATTATGAGATTGTGTTTGAATAATTTAATGATTAATTCTTATACAATAAGATTGTTGTATTATATATGAAAAATAATAAATATGAATTCAGTACATTAAAATAAGAAAAAGATTTATATAAACATAAACATAAATCTTGACAATTTTATTTTTTATGATTTTCACTTTAACTTTTAATGCTAAATGTTTCTGTAAATATTTTAGTTTCTCTTATATTTTAGAATGCTGAATTTACATCTGTTGTACTTTCTGTATATTATATTTTTGTGATATGTTTCAGACATAATGAAGCTGTTCAAGCTATGCAGTTCAATCCAGTATCACACCAACTTTTAAGTTGTTCTTTGTCAGACATAGCATTTTGGTCTCCAGAACAGAAAGCAGTAGTAAAGCATAAATCAAGAGGAAGAGTAAATTGTTGTGCTTGGACAAGCGATGGACAATATTTAGCGATTGGCTTAGCATCTGGCTATGTGTCGATTAGAAATAAAGTTTGTCCTTTTTATGTAATACAATTTAAATTAATTTACATAATGTAAAAAGTTTTGTATGTTGTGTATTGTTAATATAAATGTACATTCGATATTATTCTATTCTTTAAATATTATTTTATTATTTACTATTATCAATTATTGCATATGATTTTTGAAAACATTTTAAAAATTTAATTTTACACAAATTGTATTAAACTTATTTTAATATTCTAGAATGGAGAAGAACAAACACGAATTGAGAGACAAAATGGTGTGCCTATTTGGAGTTTGTTGTGGAATCGTCAATGGTAAAAAGAATTATTATTAATATTTTTTATAAAGAATTAGCAAATAACAAATTTTAGTAATAAATTTTCATATTATCCGTAGGGAAGATTCAACAGATGTTCTCTGTATTGCAGAATGGAACGGGATCCTATCGTTTTATTCAATTTTAGGCAAACCATTTGGAAAAGATAGATCGCTCAATTTTATCCCTCTTAAAATGTGTAACTTTGCTGGCGGTCAATATATTTTAGTTTCTGGAAGTAACAAACAATGTATATTAATGACATATGATGGTATACAATTAATGAACATTGGTGGTACATTTTCCTCTTGGGTTTGGAGTTGTGCTGTACATCCAACTTCTACACATGTTGTACGAATTAAGGATTTTCTTTCTTTATTCAATTTTTAATTTATTCAAATTTTAATTTTATAGTTCTTATCTTCTTGAATTTATAATTTTATAATTATTTTTATTTTACTGTATATTCCAATGCTTGTAATTAATAAATTGTAGAATTATTTTCAAAGCTGTTTCGTGTTTTTTATATAGGCATTAGGTTGTCAAGATGGTACAATAACATATTTACATTTATCTTGGGACGTTATACATGGATTATATGGAGATAGATATGCATATAGAGAAAATATGACTGATGTAATAATACAAAATTTAATTACTAATCAAAAAGTTCGCATTAAGTGTAAAGATTTGGTAAGTAAACAAAATAGTTTGATATTAAATATAATTTTAGATATAAATTCGCTTTTTGATTTTTAAATTAAAATAATACACTGAAAATATTAGTAAATAAAATACATTATAAAATTTGTTATTCTATTTTTAGATACATCGTATTGCTGTGTATAAAAACAGATTAGCAGTTCAGTTATCAGAACGTGTAATAATTTATGAACCATCAAATTCTAATGATGGAATGCATTATCGTATATATGAAAAATTAAATCAAGCATTAAATTGTAATTTACTTGTTGTTACTACGAACAATTTAATTTTGTGTACAGAAAGACGATTACAAAGTCTATCATTTAATGGTACAATAGAAAGGGAATGGATACTAGATGGACTTGTAACTTATATAAAAGTTGTTGGTGGACCAATTGGACAAGAGTGCCTTATTATAGGTTTGTATGATAAAATTTTTGTAAAAGTAAATAAAATACTTTTATAATATATAACTAATTAAATAAAAAAACGTTCATAATAAAAAAACTAAAATTTAATAAAAGATAAATTAATTTTATATAATTAGTTTATTAGTTTTAAGAAAATTATTAATTCATTGAAGATCAGTTATTTCACAAAAACTAAGCTACTTATTAATACAATTTAATTATTTTTTTAATATTAATATACATGATCTACATGAAAATGATTTTTTATTAATTTTTGGTAAGTAAATAAAATATTTAATAATTCTTGTTTCCTATTTTTATAGGTTTAAACACTAGCTACATAGTGAAAATATATTTAGATAATCCTTTTCCAGCATATTTAATAAAAATTGAGGGTTCAGTAAGATGTCTTGATATCAGTTCATTGAAAGAAAAGCTTGCTGTTGTTAGTGATCATGGAGTTCTTCATGTATTTGATTTATATACAGAAGAGAAGCTCCAAGAATTTCCAAATGTAAATAGTGTGGCATTTAATAATAGTTTTGAAGATATAATGTGTTTTTCTAGTGGAGAATATTTGACAATTAAAGTAGGTAATTTTACGGAATATAGACAAAAATTTTCCGGGCTTGTTATGGCTAACAATGGATCAAAAATATATTGTTTAAGCGGTTCTTCTATTGTCACATTAGAGGTAAATTTTTATTTTGGAATATGTTATTAAGAAAGAAAATTTTGTACAAAATATTATATTTTGAAAATAGCAATATGTAAAACATAACATAATTTATAATATATAATTTAAAATGTAACGTATAATAATATACATGTTAATAATTAAAATATTATTTATACATAGGTACCCTTATCGTTATTTATGTACCAATATATTGATATTGGTTTATTTTCTAATGCTTATAACATAGCATGTCTTGGAGTAGCAGATTCTGACTGGTTTGCTCTGGGAACAGCTGCTTTAGAAAATTTGGAATTAAATATTGCATACTCTTCCTTTGCTAGAATAAAAAATTTGAAATACATAGAAGTTTTATCTGAAGTGGAAGAAAAACTTAAATCTGGAGAATGGGGAAGAGAAGCATGCATGGCCACTGCTGCAGCTGCTATGGGAAAGTTAAAAGATGCTGCAAAACTTTTCCAAAAAGCTGGTTTACAGCAGTATGCATTAGCTATGTATTCTGATTTACGTATGTTTGACATTGCACAAGAATTTATTGTTAGTGGCAACAATCAGGTTAGTCAAGAAATTATTTAGTAATATTTATTCAAGTTTCTATATTATTTTTATACAAAGTGTCTTATGTAATTCCATTGTAATGTAATGTAATTCCTATGTAAACTATTTTCTAATTTTATAAAAATATGAATGATGAAAGGAGTATATATATAGATGCAAATTTTATAAAAGATATTGTCATGTTACATTATATTATAGTAATAATTGATTATAAAGTTACACAGGGCACGATATATGTTAAAATGATACATTAAAATTGGAAATAATAAAAGTAAAAATTTTATTTCAATAATATATATTCAGGATCGTACAATTTTACTTCGAAAACGAGCAGAATGGGCCAAAAGTCTTGGGGAACCTCGTGCTGCAGCAGAAATGTTTCTCTCAGCAGGAGATGTTGATCGCGCTATAAATATAATTGCTGAATATGGTTGGATTGATATGTTAATCAAAGTTGGCAGACAACTCGACAAGGCAGATAGAGATAATTTAACTATAATTGCAAAAAAATTGAAAAAATTGGGTGCAACTCATGGTGCAGCAGAAATTTTTAGTCGCTTAGGAGATGATCCCGATGTAGCAGATGTTTTAGTAGAAGCTCAAGCTTGGCCAGAAGCATTTGAATTAGCTGAAAGGAATCCCAAATTGAAAGCAAGAATATATGGACCATATGCTAGATGGTTGGCAGAAACGGGCCATTTCTCTGAAGCACAAAAAGGTAAATGAAATTTTACCAAAATTTATTTGTTTGAATAAAATTTAATTGCAATATGCGAAGACAGTTTGAAATGTAAAAAAAATTTATCATTTGTTTGTATTAAATTATGTGAAATAATAATATAATTTTTAAAAAAATTAAAACATTCATTCAGTTTTTTAGCATTTCAGATCGCTGGACAATCAGATGAATCTGTAATGGTTTTAATAATGTTGGCTAAAAATGCAGTTAGTGAGAAGAGATTTCGCGATGCTTCTTACTTTTATTGGCTTTTATCTCAAATTAGTTTAAATCTTAATAGAACCATGGATGAATTGAAAACAATGTTTTTCCAATATTACGAAAAGGCTGAAATTTATTATGCATATCACGAAATACATAAATACATCGTAAGTAATTTGTAATATGTCACATATACTTTATAATTACATTAAAAATTTTAAATAAATAATTAAAAAGTCATTCGTTAATAATATGTCACGATATTGTAGAAAAATAATAAGAAGAATTACACAATTATATTTTTTCTTTTTTTTAGGAAGAACCGTTTACATCATTAATGCCAGAAGCTCTTTTCAATATTGCACGATTTCTTTTAACTAAAACTGAAAATATACAAGTAGAAGGAGTTTCAAAATTTACCATAATATATACATTACTAAAACAAGCTTCTTTTCTTGGTGCTAATAAATTAATTATGCAATTACTTGAAAAATTACGAAAAACAAAAATTCCGACAAATCAACTTAGCCAGTTAGAAATTTCAAGTTTAAATGCACGAGCTTCTTCTTATAGAGATCCTGAAGAACTTTTGCCACTTTGCTATAAATGTTCGACGTTTAATCCTTTATTACCCTCAAACAATCAGGGGCAATGTGTACAGTGCGGACTAAAATTTCAATATTCTTTTGTAATGTTTGGTAGGTACTATGTTCAAAAAATTCTAATGAATTTTCATATTCATTAAAATAATCAAATTCCTTTTTTTTTGTGAAAAATGTATAAATCTTGAACATATAAAATGTAATTTTTATATTTTAAGTATAATCTATAACTATTTAAACCATTCTTTTTAAAACATATATTAAAAATAATATATTAAAATATATTACACTACATTACTAATTTTATAATATTTTTGGTAGATATAAATTATAAAAAAATTGTAACATTTTTGTAAAAATTGCAGAAATTTTACCATTGGTCGAATTTGAATTAGAAGAAAATATTTCTGATGAAGAAGCAGAAAAATTAATAAATGAGTCATTATCATCGTCTGATGATATTACAAACACAGATCAATTTTCTATGACACCTGAAATAGATCTTTTTACAGCACGTTTAATGAAATACGAGGTATTGCTATACACAAATATAATAGTAATTAATATATAATTTTACAAATTACAGATAGATTTAATAAACTTAATAATATGATAATGTTGAATAACATTTTTGACATTTAATGATCTATTTAAATGCATATTGTTATATAAATAAAATAGATTTAAATTTATTCATTTTAGGAAAAATCTAGTTCTTCTACTATAATTGTAGGAAGAAATGTTCTAAAAAGTATGGATCCATGTACAGTATTAATTGTTAAATGGCCAAAGCCATTTAGAACAAAATATTTCAAAAATCTTTTACCTGATCTACAAATTACATTTTGTAAATCTTGTTTAAAGGTATTATATTTATTATTTATGGTAAATTTATTGCAAATAAATTTTATGTTGTCAAATAAAAATTAATAGTATTGCAAAACATATAATTAGAAGAAATGTAATAATTTTTTTATCATTCTTTTTAGCTATTTCATTTGGATGACTATGAACTGGCTTTATTACGACATGGTTACTGTCCATTTTGCAGAACAGTGAATAAAATTTCAAATTAGTACCTTTCATTAATTTGAATTGTGTAATTACGATATTACGTTTACCGTGATAAATTATAAATTTAAATTTAACTTAAATTAAAGTAATTTAATGTAGATAATCTATATTGGGACTAGTATAAACGAATATCATTGATTTGATATCAATGTATCGTGAACATTGTACGATTCGGCAACTTTGTATTTCTAATAGCAAGATCGTATGCTATATAAACTTGATTGTTGCAATAATCGCATAATGCTATATAAATTACATGTTTCTATGATCGTAACGATCTGTTTGATCGCATGATGCAGATCGTATGATCTGTTTGCACTAAATTTATATTCTACTCGCTTTTTTATTTGCTTTTTAGTACATATTATTTTCTTTAATACATATCTTATTTTATCAGTTATCAATTATCTTATCAGTTATCAGTTATCAATACTTGGAAATTAAGATTAATATTATATAAATTGTTTACTTTAATTTAAAGAGCTTTAAAATATAAAATGACATATTTAAACAATTTATTATGTTATTAATTAAAAATTATTTAATAATATATTTTATCAAATGGCTTGTGAATTCAGTTATATAAATATCAGTAGATAGTAAGTTGGTTTTCATTTACGTGCTAATTGGTCTGATTTCCCAAGTACCGTTGAACGAAATAGTCAGAAGAATTGAGCGCGTTTCAAACAGTTACAATTTGAGAGATGTTGCGCGTGATTTACTTGACAATTTTCCTTTTTATAAATGTCGTTAGTTGTCGATTGGATGATGATAATATCACGGAAATTCAAAATTCGATGTCTCGCGGCAGATGTAAGTAAACAGAAAAATGAATGAAATAGCTTTTAATGTATTGCACTTTGAAATAATGTATTTTATAAAATACAATTGATATTTCAGAATAATTATATATTTATTTTTGTTATATAGCTTAATATAAATACTTATGTTGTATAAACTAATATAAAATTATGAAATTAATTTTTAAACAGTTTTCCCGCTATTCAGTGTTATTCGATTTGCGAATTCCCAGTGCCTTGCTAGCAACAATTTAAACGGTACCTGTTTTACTAAAAGAGAATGTCGTCATTATGGTGGGACACCCTCTGGTAGCTGTGCAAATGGACTTGGTATTTGCTGTGTTTGTAAGTAATTAAAAAATTTAAGTTGTTTTTTATAAAATTTAGTGAATTTATTTAAAACTAATGTTTATAGTTCAGAAAACATGTAGCTCCACAACAAATGTAAATAATACATATTTTACAAATCCTGAATATCCAACAACTTATGAGGGACAAGGACGATGTACAATAACAGTGCAACGTTGTAATTCAAATATATGCCAAGTGAGTTATCAAAATATGTTTATAAGTTAAATATTGATTAAATATAAAACTATTATAAAATTGAATTAACACCTAATTTACTTTATTCTTATAAAAAGTTGTATAATTATTATTACTTATAATAAAGTTATAATATCATAAATTGGTTCTAGTTACGTTTGGATTTCTTGGAATTTACTCTTGCTTCACCAGACGCCAGTGGGACTTGTGATTTTGATTCCCTTTCAGTTTCTGGATCAGGGAATACGGTACCTCGAATTTGTGGAGAAAATGCAAATCAACATGGTAACAAATAAAATTATTAACAGTAATTAGATGCAATTGTCAATTGCCTTCTTTCAAATCATAAATATTTAATATACTTGATTTGAAAGAAGACAATTGATATTTGTAAGAACATCTTGTCTAAGAAAAAAATTAAATTTACGAATTATGAATAACAAAATAATTAATAATTTAAACAAAATTATTAGAAAACGGAGTTATTTAATAAATTTGTGTTTATATGTGACGGTATTCTACATTTGTAAATTAATTATATGTGACGATATTCTACATTTATAAATTAATTATTAATGATACTTATAACACTTAGCACTAATCAATCTTTCTATTGATTTAAATTTTTCAGTATATATAGATTTCAATGGTGATACACCTATTATGCTATCAATTGATACCAATCCTGAGTATGCTACGGATCGTCGTTGGAATATAAGAATTCAACAATTACCTTGTGATTCCACGTATAAAGGCATGTACATTATAAACTTTTTACTGCTTTTTTAAAATAGATATTATATTCCATAATTAATATTTAAACCTTAAAAAAATTTTAGTCTTTTGTATAAAAAAGTTACGTTAAGTTTTCAATTTATGAACTATAGATATTTTTGTCATTTTAAAGTAAAATCAATTGTTAATGTAACAATTGTATTCAATTACATTGAATATTAAAATTTTATTAATATTATTTACAATATTATTATTTTAAGTTAATAATTTTGATCATTGAATTCTTTTCACAGCACCAAATGGATGTTTACAGTATTATGACAGTGTCTCGGGTACCGTAACAAGTTTTAATTATGGCACAACGCAAAATCCAAGAGGTACCATAACTAATAAAATTTGTAAAAATTACATAGCAATTAACTTATTTATTTGTTAACAATATATTTATTTATATTATTGTGTATATATTAAAATATTATTTGATTATTAACTATATTATTAATCCAATATTGTTTTAGCACCAGTAATAGGTACACGGCAAATAGCAAATACGAATTATGGTGTATGTGTAAGAATGGCCCAAGGATATTGTGGTATTGAATGGTCTCAAACAAATTCAAATTCATTTACCGTTTCTGGAGATACTGGTGCAATTGATCCTACCTTATTAGGTAAAATGTAATATGATAATCAATTACTTTGATACATAAAATGTAATATGATAATGTAATATGTTCTAATCAATTACTTATTAATAATAATTACATCAACAACAGTAAGATAATTATAGTATTAGAAAACAAAGCAAAGTATTTGAACATTTATAGAAATACATAATTACATGATAAAAATTTTCTTAATAAATATTAGAATACTTTTAGTCTATTAATTTTTTATTACATTATGTATATTTAACTCAAATTTAATATTTCCATCATTTAAAGTAATACAGTAATAAGTAATTGTTTTTGCAATCATGAAAGTAATGAAACTAATGAAGTTTATACTGTACACATAAAAGTAAAATAATTAGAATTAATTCGTTATTTTTATAAACAATCTTTTTAAATGAAAATAAATAAGTACTTCTATAGTATTGATTATTTTAATTACTTATTGATTAATAAATAGGTACTGTGGATGCAGCAGAAGAAGGTACGGCTTGCACAAAAGACTTTGTTATTATTCCACATCCATTCGAAAATGGTGCCGCAGTTGATACAGAACGATTTTGTGGTAATGGTTTCGTAACAAAAACATGTAAGTACATAATATTTTGTTTTTATGTACAAAATTTACATGAAAATTTTATGTATTGCTATGTGTGTTTGATGTAGTGAATTATATATATAAAATAAATGCATAAAATATGCACATGTGTAATGACATAAATTAATAACTTCTTTTTTTTTTTAGCTTTTTCCAAACCATTTGTACTATATGTTATCACAGATGGCGATGAAATGGGAGAAATTGAAAATAAGGGATTTTCATTAACATATCGTCAGATAGCTTGTGCAATTTAAATAAAAAAGCATGTTCTTGTTTCATATAGATATGATATGAACATTTTACGTATTATAGGATAATAATAGGACATAATAATCAATATTTAATATATTTATTATTTTGTATAAAATTAGCATTTTTTTAAAAATGAAACAATCATTAATCATAGTAAAATTAATCATAATGAATGTAAATTTATATAATTATTATATACATTTATGTAATTATGTAAATATTAATATTAATTATGAATAAATTTCAGATTTTAACGATTTCAAATTTATCCTTATTAATTTTTAAAATTGCTTATGAGTTTATATCTATTTTCAACTCAAGAATAAAAAAAAATTTGACGATTAAACGTTTTTATAATATAAATCTAATACAATTTTTATAATATAAATATAATACGATTAATAACATTTTTATAATATAAATCGTTTAAAATGTAATTATATAAATTATATTTTAAATTTAATATATTTTATCATAAAAATTTATATACAGAAAAGAATATATATAATTTTATTTTAATAAAATATTTAATTTTTTTTAAACATTTCAATGATATTTCATTGCACCAATTTTTAACATTATAAATCAATATTTTCATTACTTGTTTGAGCTTCTTTTAAAAGTAAAATATTTAGATATCTCTTAAACCTAGTTTGAAAACTTTACTATAAAAGTAAATTAGTTTTATAAATTTGACTTGAAGATTTTCTTTATTTACTGTTCTTTCTTACGACCATCGTTGGCAAAATACAAAGAATTTGAAAAATTATGTTTCTTGTTTATCAAATTGTGTATATTATTATTATATTTCACATTCTTCTTATATTAGTTAAATTAGTTTTATTAGTTATATATTTTTTAATTTCTACATATTTACAAAATTTATTATCTGAAACATATCTCATTTCTTTCTACGGTAGTAATACTAATATGAAATAACACAATTTAACTTTATTATATTCAAAATGATACAATTACAAACAAATTATAATTTTAAGAAAACTAATATAAACAATATTTATTAATATAAATTTTATTTATATTATTTAGTCATTAAATATTTACTTCCTGAATGTTCTTCTATTTCCTTCGTCATGGCATTATACCACGTGTTAAGTGTTGTATTATTTAAAGCATCTTTAAAAGCACTGCAGCCTTCTATACTTTTCAGAACTCCATATACAGCAAGGTCTGATAAATTAGGTTTTTCTCCTCCCATAAATGTACCACCGCGTTTTTTAATAGCACGTAACCACTTATTAATTCCATCGTACAATGATTCTCGAACATCATTTTTTAAATTATGCTTCTTTTTTAATCGTTTTGATATCAACCACATAGCTGTAGCACCTATGTTTATCATAATTAACCTTTCCCATGTTGGAAAATATTCTTCCCATTTACCAACCTAATTGATTAAAGAAAAAAATTTCTTTTTATTCTATTCTTTTCTAAAATTCTTATATTCACATTAAAATTATTACATTTTTTGTTTGATTACTCAATATGTTATTATGTTTAATTATTATTAAACTACTTACTTCAGAAAACCAATTGAAAGTTTTATAAGCTTCATCAAGTGTTCTGTACACATTAGGTGATAGCGTATGCACAAATTCATCATCGACCCATTTCCTCCATTTACGCTCCTCCCTAAAATAATATATTAATTAGCAAAAATATAAAAGTTTTATCATCCGTAATCAATCTACTTCAACATAAAAAGATTAAGGCTTATTTTATACAAGAAACATGATCTTCTCACATGATCTCATCTGTTTTTGTAGGCAAATTTTCTTGATACATCAAGAAATATTTATTCATAATTTCATATTTCAATTTTTGGTTTTCATCGTGCATCGCTATACTTGGATAATAGTCTACTAAATCATTAATTTTCTGAGATCTATCTTTCAAATATGAAGCTAATAGGGAAATAATCATTGAACTATCATTTAAAGATTGATATCCTGAATCGACTTCTGCTAAAAGTATTGGTACTTTCTTATAAGTTGACCAAGATATTTCTTTTCGTAATACAGGATCAACCTCCACGATCTCATAAGATATTCCATAATAATCCAAAAAAGTTCTGACCTAAAAGTTTCACATTTACAATTAATTCAATTTATAAAAATAATAATACATTATTTAAAAGAAAAATAATAATTAAAATTTAAATAGTAAACTTTACATTTGCATCGTCACTCGAAGAATATATTGCGATTGATTACATCTTCTTTAATTTGATACTTATGAAACAAATAATAAATATGAATATTTTACCTTACAACAGAAAGGGCATGTCTGATATTGATAAAGAGTCAACTTTAAGTCTGTAATGTCCACTGGAAAGATAACCTACCATGAAAATGAAATAAAGTAGCATTTTGATGCGTGAGGATCAAATCAATCTGATATTAAACTGTACATTAGACATATATAAATCAACGTATAAAATTACCTCTCTAGAAACGGGTACTGGTGGTTTTTCTTGAAGTATTTTAGTTTTCTGTTCTTTCCCTTGAAGATGATATGTTTGTGAAGCTTCCTTATTTCTGTACCAAGTGTATCCCTGTGTAATAGCTATACCAACTGGAAATCCAACAGAAATCCCTACTAAACTTGCTTTAAATACAGTTTTTAATATTGAAGATTGTCGAGACGCCGATAAAACACTCTCATTTCGTTTCGGACATCTTTGAATAACATTTTTCAGACAATATAAATTTTGGGGATATCTTGACAGTCTTTGTAATATAGACATTGTGCAATGTTTATTATATATTTTATATATATTTTTGAATAAATTAACTACTTTAAATATGTTACTATTGAGAAAATTACTTTGCACCTTTTAATAATGTAACAATTGTAAAAGGAGTTATGCATTCAAATTATAAGACATGTGGTTTGTAATGAACTTTGCAAAGTAAACATTAATCACATTTAATTTTCATTTTAATACGTAATGTAGAAATCATCGATTATGATGTTATTAAAAAATATTTGATACAAACTTATATTCTTGTAAATTAAGTGTATAACTAATATCATTCAATACTTGCATTGACTTCGATAAATAATTTATTATTTTTATAAATTGTTTACTTTTTAAAACATTTTAGTATTACACAGTTATAGTTCAATATTACACATTTATAAATTACAACATGTAGGGAAAAAATTCATATTTAATGTTCCATTTTAAATAAGCTAGTTTTTTCCTATTTATGAAATAAAAATGTGACACTACCGATGAATTAACTGATTATAAATTTTTGTTTATTTATATTAATAGTTGACTTTCATTTGTGTGTTATTAAATTTTTATTACGAATAAATTTTAAAGGTTATGTAATGTACAAGGATACGTAATACGCAAGCGTGGCAGGAATTTACTGTCACGTGAAAATGTACCTTCAATGAATCACATTGAGTAAGGCATATAAATTATGTCATTATACCTAGTCGGTCATTTACATGTTATCTGTAGATAAAAGAAACGGAAACTGTAAAATTTTGAATCGAACAGACATTTTTAAGTAATGCATATTTGTGTGCTTACGCGTATAACTTGTGTAAATCTGCTTAGCTGGACTAAGTGTATGAAATAAAAATAAAATTAAGTGTTTTTATAGTTTTACTTTAGGTATTAAGAATAGATAATATCTATTAATTTTGAAAAAAATTAATTCGTAAATGAGGTGTTTGTATAAGAAAAATAGACAAATTTAACCTTAAAGTTGAATGACCTAACCTTAAAGTTAATTAATTTCTGATATATTAATGAAAGAAGATTAATAAAATATTCAATATGGTAATTAAAGTTGACATTCAACATAATTTTAATTTTTCGGTGCATTATTAATATTTAAGTATAAACATAAAAAGTAATGTGTTATAAATAAAGAAATGAAATAATTTTGTGGCTTTATTGCAATATTTTGTATATATTTTTGGAATATTTACATGCAGTCTATATAGTTGATGTAGTAATGAAATAAGAAGTTACAGTAAAGAAATAATAAATTTTCAGCACGGCAGAGTAAAAGTTCGAACAACTGCAGAGCAGGAAGCATTAAAGAAGAAGGAAAGGGCTGAAAAACTGTCACGTTATAGAATTGGCATGAGCATTGTGTTTAAGAAAGTAATGTCACAAATACAACAGTTAATGCCACATTACAACGTTAATCATGTTTATATAATTTCATAGAGTTAAAGAATAAGTAACTGAATTATAAAATGTAAAAAAAAGAAATTAGTCAAATTTACTAAAATGTAATTATTTAATTTTGTATATTACAGAGGAAAGATAAAATTTATGACGATGAACTGATGACGGTTACTGAACGTATGGTATTACAAAATCCAGATATTTATACTTTATGGAACATTCGTAGAGAGGCATTTATAAATAATGATTGGTAATTATACAAATAACAATTTTAATGTTTTACTACTAAATTATTAATAATAATTTAAACTCTAGCATTAAATAATAAGTAAATTGTTTATATTGTTTAATATTTTATTAATATATTGTTTATTATTATATTTATTATGTAATAATACTACAAATATTTATATATAGGGTGCTCAATGGCCAAACTACAAGAGCTTAATCCATGCATAAAAGAAAGAAAATATTTGAAGAAAATATAAAGCTTATCAAGGAAAACCCTTGTTATAGTTATAAACAAATATTACATAAGTTATAAACATATGTTGTATTGTATGAATATGAAAGAAGTAACTATGTATTTTCCAGTAGAGCACATAGAAGATGGACTGCATTTATTTGATCTGTGCAGATACATTCTTTAACGTCCTTGTATTATAATTTCTAATTTCTAATGCTCGTGCTAACAGTTAGTATCAAATTATTGTTCAAAGTAGGTTCTTACATTAAAATACCAAAAATATTTATATGGAGAATGCTATCTATTTCATACATAAATATTTGTTTATAACTCTGTTACAAGGCATTTTATGATAAACTTTATAGAACATTTCTTTCTTCTTTTTATGTATATATTAAGCCCTGTAGTTTAGCAGTTTAAGTTCGGGATACCATATTTTTGTTATTTATGTTGTTTATTTATGTAAGATTCAAATAGGAAAATTTCTAACATAAAATAGTAATTTTGAATAGGTATTATATAAGTAGCATGTTTATCATATCTTAAATTTACTAGTCATAAGCAAAACCTAACATCAATATATGAGCTTTATATAATATGCAATATAACTAAAAACAGGGATGAAAAGCTTTTAGAAGAGTTTTATCAAAATGAATTAAGACTTACCGAAAATTGTTTGAAACAAAATCCAAAATCTTATTGGGTATGGTATCAACGGATATGGATTACAAATCACTTAGCAGAATGTAATTGGAAAAAAGAACTAATGCTATGCACTAAGTGTCTAAATTTAGATGACAGAAATTGTAAGTCACTAATGTTATTAAATGTCTTATTTTTATTATTAGAAAAGTAGTAAATGCAAATATTATTTTTGGTTCATTTTAGTTCATTGTTGGAATTATAGGGAATTTGTTGTACAAAAAGCAGGAATTTCTCCTGATGAAGAATTTGAATTTGCTACCTCAAAGATTCTAAATAATTTCTCTAATTACTCATCCTGGCATTACAGAAGTCTACTGTTATCAAAAATGTTTCATAAGTCTGACCAAAACGATATTGATGAAAAAAAGAAACAGGGTATTTGCAATAAAAGATATAAATATTTTGAGATTATTTTATAATATACAATAACAAAATTATTTTTTTCCTTCTAGAATTAGAGTTGGTAATGAATGCCACATTCACAGATCCTAATGATTCTAGTGCTTGGTTCTACCAAAGATGGTTATTAAATACTCATGAATTCCTTGCTACGCTTTCTCAAGCTTTAATAAAAAGTGATAATGTGATCCTTTTTGCTAATAAAAATATATCAACTGAGTCAATATATTTAAAAGTAAATAATAAAAATGAAAATGTGCAATGGAAATCCTTACAACAAACAAAGATTTCGAAATTATGGTTTGGAAAATTAAAGAAACAGTTAAATGAAACAAACAATGTTCAGATCGAAATTGAAGGAACATTTTATCCCTTGGTTTGCATTAATCAGAAGTGGATATATAAAAAAAGAAAATATAAATTTTGTTCTAATAAAGATCAATTATTAGAACAGTTATCGAGTTATAAACAGCTTATAGAAATGGAACCTAATAATAAATGGGCTTATTTAACCAGCATTCTTTTAATGAGGAAAATCGATTTTATAAAATTTTATGAAAATATTTTAACAAATTTGAATGTTCTTGTTAATATTGATTCTCTTCGATCTAATTATTATAAGGATTTGCGTAAGTATACTTACCAAATAGATTATAAAAATTGAATAATATGTATATAACATCTTATGATGTACGCAGAGTATTCTTAAATTAAGATTCTTGAGCTAAGATTTAAATTTTTCTTTAGTTTCAATGATATTGAAATATTTAGGGAATAATAATTGAAGTAATTAAAAGAAAATATCCAAAACAATGAACATTTTGTTTAGCATTTATAAAATTTGAGACTGATAACATTATTACAAGTAATTTGTAGTAGAGAAGATAATATTTTCTGTATTTATCACTTAATGCAAATAGAACGTATATTGCAGAAATTTAAAAAAAAAACTTTTATTCTTCTGATTCTGTAGACATTTCGGTTGTAGAATTAATAAATCTCATAAGAGTGCAATAAAATTTGGCAATTGTGGAAAGAATATATAAAATCATGTTAACATAAATTTGATTAAATTATAATAATTAATATATATATTATAATAATTATATAAATTATAATAATTAACTGGTAATTACTTTAATTTGAAAATTAAATAATGAATTTTTTTTCAGGAAGCAAATATATAATTGAGTATAAAATATATGAATTATGGAATACAGAAGAAGATCAGGAAATAAAAACAGAAATTGATCTCTCTGGATTAAACTTAACCACGCTTAGTAATAACGAACATCTCAGTTTTTTTGAACAAATAAATCTCGGTGCAAATTATTTAGCAGATTCGTTACATCAGTTATTTATACTGCAAAGCTGTACAAAATTATCACTTTCAAGTAATCAAGTGAAAAATTTGAAGAAGTTTCCTACATTGCAAAATCTTGAAGTTTTATTATTAAGAAATAATAAATTAAATAATTTAGGAGAAATATTACAATTACTAACAAGACATAAATTGAAGTTACTTGATTTAAGAGAAAATCCAATTTGTAATACTAAAGAATTACAAACTGATATAGCACAAATCAGTCCAGATTTACAACTATATATAGAATAATTTTCATAATATACACATACATTGATAATAAGATATTATTGAATGTATGAAGTCTAATATAGAGCCAATACATAAATAAAAATCTAAAACTTATCTTTTTTGTATCGTACTACATTTTTTCTTGTGTATAACTGATTTCCAAATTTAAATAACTTTTGGTACATTATGTTTTTAATTATTGTTAAAGTAATATTAAATAATATTAAAATAAGTACAATAAAACATAGAATATATGACCAAAGTGTTTTAATTATTTTTTGTTATTGTTAACAATATGAAGAAATATTTAAGTTCTCAATTCTTGTAACTACATTATGCTTAACTATATTAAATGTACAAATTTTTATTTTTAAATGTAATTTTCACGAATAATACATGTGTATACACATGTACAAACATTTCCTTTTCAAAGTACATTTAAAATATTTTGAATGTTTCCTTGATAAATTTACTTTTTATTCCCAATTTAGTTTAATTTATTCTATATCGTTAAGTTGATGTATGTGTCAATAAAAAAAGTGTTATAAGGAAAAAGATAAATGTTAAGATCGCAGATTCTTTTGCTAAAAATAAAAAAAAGATGGAATTTTTATATAATCTTATTATCCTTAGGTCTAAAAATGTTCACAACTATAAAATTGATATAAGAGTAATATAATACTATTATTTTGTAAGTAATAGTATTTTTATAAGAAAAAAAATTATGTATAAAACAGTTCAATAGTTTTGATTAAATAGTACATTATTAAATAATTCATTTATTTTACAAAATATCACATGATGATTAAAAATTATTTTGTTTAGAACATCAAAATTCAAGCATTCTTTTGAATTCTATATTTTCAAAAAATATATGCATATTAAGTATTATAAGTATCACATATACATATTAAATATATATATACAAATATATAATTTCGATTTGCTTTTATTTTAAAATTTGTTTTAGAAGAACTCTGCGATGCATATACGTATATATATGTAATGTGATACTCATATGTACCTTGCGAAATTTATCTTTCCCGCGCATAATGGTGCAGGTGTAACAAAATTTGAAACGTTTGTATATTTATTGCATTAAATGTTTCTACTTTCATTCAAGTAAATATTTTAACGTATTTTTATACATATACTCGACGATTTTAACTAATATTTCTATTATTTATTGATTTACTTTATTTATCACATATATACATATTTCTATAAATTGCTGTGTATAACATAAATGATAAAAGAATAATAACGACGAGGATAACAATAATATCGATGCCAATGAGTAATGATATATATAATATTAATGTAATATTAAATTAATAACTGTGCAATGTTAGAAATTACTATTCGTAAACACGTAATAATTGGCACTCAAGTGTCATATATATAACACCTCTCTTCTCTGCTCGATATTTATAATTTTTAATTTACCGCTTGTACGAAAGCCAATCAATAGAAAATAAAACGGTTCTGGTGGAGAGCGTACTATTGCTGAACGCAACTCTCGCGTTATTGTTTGGATTGCCATTCGATTTATTTATTCTCTGACATTCGATATGGCGAACAATATGGCCCATCAATCGTTAAAACATCTCTGAGCATACCCTCTGCCAAAGGATTCAGATCTCTCTCGGTGATACGATGATTTGCTTCGACGTAATTCTATCATCTTGTTTTACCGCTATTAGTATGCGTACCTGATACTTCATGATATCCCGTGTAGGTGAAGGTGAGCGTGCATGTATGCAAACGTGATATGTATGTATGTGCACGTTGAATCATTATTTCTCATAACCTTTTTATGAACACGAAAATACAGCGGATGCGATTAGACAATCTTAAGAGATGTGGTTAAATCCATGCATCTTGTAGCCGGCAAGCGGCGAAGATAGTAGACGCATACTATATCCAATGGAGTGGACCTGTATACTTGTGTTTTTTGGCTTGAAGTAGATTTTACCGTATCTATCCACGTTGCGAATTTCGTTCCGAGTCTAGTTAAGTGTGCAATCTCTACAGCGTGATCATATCATGGCCTCGTCAAACAGGAGAATTCAAATCGGCTCTGCTTGGTTTCAAACAAAGATTAACCTAAGACCGCAGCGTCGTGGTATCCATCACGTTACCGAGGAGATCCTAAGAAGAATTCCCGAGCTCTGTGAATTTTCAGTCGGACTTTGTCATATACAAAGTAAGTGGAATCTCTCCTTGTTAAAAGGAATAACTATAGCGCAAAACAACGCATGGTATAAGTACGTGAAGGAATTTTGTAATTTTTTTGTATTTAATAATTGATTCCTAACGTCTCAAGCGAAAGTTCTTAATCTGATCTATCTGATTTGTCTGAAAAATTTTAGCAATTGTATCGCATTGTATGTATTTACAAATCCACATGTGTGTATGTTTAATATAACATATTAATAGTATGTATACAAATGTTATTTTATTATGTTTATGTGCAAATATTCAAAGCAAATAATTTTATTTTTTCTAATTGGAATTACTGTGCAGAAAATTAAAAAGTATAATGAGATCTGTTTAGAAAGAAAATGTTTTTTATCAGGGATAACCTTTGATATTACAAAGGTCGATAAGATAAAAAGTAAAAATAGCGGATATGATGTATACAATAATCGTACTGATCATAAATATTACTGACTTATATACTGACTTTAATAGAATTAGTAAATTATCATTTATTGTTATTATCTTACAATCACTATAAATCTAAAATTATAAATTAAGCAATCAAAACAATTTTTATGTTGCTTCTTAAGTTAAGATAAAGAAATAAGATGTACATAAAATTACTGTAAATATTACAGATATTTTCCTATAGCATAAACAGTTTTTACTACTTTTTAGTTCTTCACACGTCAGCAAGTTTAGCGCTAAATGAAAATTGGGATCCAGATGTTAGAGACGATGTAGAAATGATGCTTAATAAAATAGTTCCTGAAGGTTTGGCCTATAGACACAGTTGCGAAGGACCAGATGATATGGTGAGTTTATGAGATTTCTTTTACGTTGTCTGAAATTAAATTGTGCCAAGCACCAACATAGATTTTTAATTATTTGTTATAATTTTATAATAAATGTCATGTTAATGAAAATGACGTAATTAAATAATAAATTATCTTGAAATCAAACTTAAGCTTTTTTTTTTTTAATTATAAATATACTAACTTTATAAAAAATATATTCATGAATTTATACATGAATGCAATTATATTATTTATAGCCAGCACATGTAAAGGCATGTTTTCTGGGCTCTTCATTGAGTATTCCAATTACTGATGGCAAATTGACTTTGGGTACGTGGCAAGGAATTTGGTTGTGTGAACACCGTAATGATGCTGGAAGTCGCAAAGTAGCTATTACATTGACTGGTTGTCTCAGGGATCCTGCACGTAGTCCTTTGAGCCCTGTTAGTCCTATTGCTTCTACCAGCAGCTAGGACCACTCACACCCCCAAAGGCGTAGCAAACGTCAGCTGCGCATATCTACATCTAGTGATTCAAGCTAGCAGCTACTTAACTTTAGACAAATTCTAAGAGTATAATTCAGAAAAGAGTGTATGGATACTTCAAAAATATTTATAAATGTTACATTTTCTTATATCTATTATTACGAAAATTTTAAGCACTTTTTATAATGACATAACTTGTAGAGTTATCAAATTGATTGACAATATTTAACATTTATATGCTTACGTCTTATATGTTTTTTTTACACTTAGAAATTATACTTTAATATTTTAAAAATATACAGTTTTTTTTACATGTAAACATTTAAGAAATATACAGTTTATGATTTTATTTAGATTAAACAAAGATATTTCTCTTTAAACTGAGTTAACTATCCAAAAATGTGGTTCATTGAATATATAATGTTGTTCAGTACTTATAAACTGCCAAGGCAATTGTATAATACATGCATTCAGAAATAAATATAAACGAATTACAAGTATCCTACACTCTTCTTAATTGCTCTTAGAAAATTAATGTAATGCATTCCGATATAATGCGTCCAATACTCCGAATTTAATTACATAGCTTTATTTAAATAATTCTTTTGTAAAAAAAAAAAGATTAATAAGGAAAATGGCATTAATAATTGCTCAGCTGAGACCTTACATCACTTTTTATAATATGTAAGAAAATCTCAACTTGAGTATGTGCAATATGTTATAACTTTCTAACTCACTGCTTATCATAGGGTAGGCATTTTTAATGACGTTTCCAATGCATTTGGGGGTGTATATAGGTTACAATCAATACTTCTTTGCTGTGCTAATATATTTCTGCTAGAGATATCCACATAAGTTATACTAATAGTAACAATATGTGGGCAAGTCAGTATGAAAGTAGAACAGTTAAGAGAATCATCAAATTATGCAAATAATGATTTAGATTTACTACATTGTTAGGTATTTACTGATAAAAAATATTCTAGAAATCCTAATTAATCTAATTGAAACATGAAATGTCATCTAGAGATGTAGCACTGCAAAGAGTTGTAATAAAAATTACTTACAATGTTACTAAAATAACCAAAGCTTATTATGGGAGCTTGTTAATGTATCTAATGTACTGTAAAGCAAGCAGTCGATGTTAGTTGTTAATCTTTCTCATATATAGCATAAATGGTCGTCCATTATGATTAATGAATATGCTTTAATGTGAAGTATCCAATGCAATTCATATAGCTTAAATATTAACAGCTCAAAAATATAACACTATCAGAAATTATGATAAATTTTTTGGAAGTTATTTTTTTTTTTTTCATAAAAAAAATATACAAGTTGCTTTACTTTGTTATATTAAAGATTTTTCTGCAAATTTATCTGCAAATTCAATTTTAATTTTATTAATATACTCAACAAAACAAATTTTTAAATATGTAAAATTTATAAATATAGCGAAAACGATTTTATCTAAGTTTTATCTATAGAAATTAACATTGGGTAACCGATATAATTCACTCATAACAATTTGCTGATAATCAAATCACCAAGTTCATTTCATAAATTATAAATGATTGAAAATTATCTGCAAAATAATATAATATATTTTATAATTTATTAATATATAAATATAATTAATCTCATCTCAATATTTAAAGGTAATCATTTAATTTTCTGATAAACTTTAAATTTTTTTTATAAAATGTTAATCACCGTTTAAATTATAATTAAAAAAATGTGTATATTTGGTTTTTCTCCATCAAAAATTTTCTATATTATGTAAGACGTATGTATAGTGATTATCTCATAATCGTTATTATTATACAAATTTAACAAATTTATAAATTTCAGAATCATTTGTTAAATTTTTCGAATAAAAAAAATGTAAGCCATATATTTATCATATATCTTGCAAAACATTAATAATATGTACAAATAATTGAAGTTAAACTTTTAATTATAAAATTAAACTAAGCAATTATAAGCAACATCTATAAAATGTTATTTTTTCATTTATATATACAGTATATTAAGTTTGTATGATTTTTTATTTTCTAACAAATGTTGTTTTATATTGCTATGAAAAAAAATGTTAAAAACGTTGATACAATATAATTGTGTACAATTTGCAAAGTTGTTCTACGATTTTTTTTATATTTTCCTATCTATATAAAGAAACAAAATGTGTGACTTACTGATAAATACTTGGACAACTTCTATATTTTACAGTGAATATTGCATTAACAAAAAAGATTTTAAAGTATAATTTTATGCAAAATTGTAATTTTATAATTTATTAACTAATTTTGTAATGTAATTTTGTTTTAATCAAAAAACTTTGGTTTATAATATTATTGTAATAGCATAATTTAAACTTAATATCTAAAAAGAAATTGCATTTAAACATTTAATTGAGAATCAAATCTTTTTATGTGTTGATTATGAGATAAGCAATATTTAATATAATTGCAGTTTTTTAATTATTTAAGTTATTGAGTATTTATGAAATTTTCTAAATATATAAAATATTAGTTTTTATTTAGCTGGATATAGTGGACCTATAATAATAAATTCTAGAAAACTAATACATTAGGATTATACAATACATAATAAATATTACTATACATTAAATTTAATATTATTAAATGTACATATAAAATTATATTTTTAAGTGAAGGGAATAGAGTGAGAACACCACATTTATGAGCGAATGTAATGAAGTTTAAATGCAAATATGATAATTGTATATTATCCCTAAAGTGTAGTAATAGAATTGTTTGTATAAAATAAATACAATGACTTCTTATGCAGCTTGAAAAAAATTTTCATTACGATATGAAAGGAAAGATACAATTTTACAAAGTTGAACTTTACTGTATCTCATTTTTATACCAAGTTGTTTACTCAAAGAATTAAAAAAATAAATATCAATTTGTATAACATTAAATTCAAAACATAGTAAGTTTATTAATATTTCTATTATTAATATTTCTAAATTGTATTTGATATAAAAAATGAAAATTACAATTAAAATTTTATTACAAAGTATGATTACGAAATAGATGAAGGATGATTATATGAAATGCTGTTATTATAAAAATAATATATTATGTTAATTTATCCATTATATGCAATTATAAATAAAAAGTAATAAAGATTAAATCATTATAGTGCACAAACCAATCATTAGTAATGAGTTCATTTCTTGTACATATAAATACAATTAATTATACATATATTATGATTACAATAATAAAGTGATATAATAGCATTAATAACATGCATTATGTACAATTATATATATATATTACATACAGTAGTTACCAATAATTCTCTGCTATATATATAATTTCAAATCTGTTTTGTGACAATGTATATATTCTTTTCATAACATGCTAATTTATATTGTTTTGGTGAAATGGTTGATTTGTCTGCATAATATTTAATCATCTTTACCTAAAAAGTTGTATCTAAAATATAAATTTAAAAATTGTTTGTACTACAAATTATATTAATGTAACAAAATGATTTATAAGCTTAATGATTAAATAAAAATATGTAGATGTTGCGTATGCCTATGTGCGTGTTATACGATAAAGTTAAAGCACTCTACAAAAAAATTTCAAATTTGAAATAGTAAATATGTATTACATTGGTATATGAACTATAATACAAGCAATAGTAAAAGAAATCAGTTATTCACTTTGTTTATATTTTGCATGCAAATTTATTTTATCTTCCATTATATCTTTCTTAAATAGTTTCTCAGTCATTAATAATATAATATTACTCACAGTGGAGAAATTTTTCTGTTTTCAAAATAAAGAAATTCCTTTGCTCAAGATGTATTTTGGGTTGAAAAGATTAAATATATTAAGTTGCATTTCATAATACACACATTATTATTATATAATTTATTAAATTAAAATTTTTATATTTATTTTTTCTATTTTAAATTTATATTTAATTAGAAGGATAAAAATTTTATCAGTAAGGTCATCAATATTTATTAGCGTTGTTATCGAGTTGTAAAATTAATAATTTTATTTATTTTATTACTACTAAGATTTTATTAATATAGTTTTTAATATTTTCACCTTTCTTTTCTTACTAATAGCTACATATTGAATTATTTAGTTTCAATATAATAAGTAGTATTGAACTGTATGTATTTATATGAAATTTATAGAAACTAAATATTTGCGGATTTTAATTATTACTTTTTAATCATATTCAGAAGCATTTTAAGAATGTAGGTCATTCTTATATTAAATAACAATTTATCAATATATGGAACATGGTAATACTATAGTAAAATAAAAGTATATATTCTTTTTTTAAATGAGTTTTTTAAATGAGAAAAATCATAATAAGATACACCAGTATAACAATTAACCGATCATGGGACATTTTTATAAAGCATTTTATTATTAACACAATTATAATAGATATTCAATCTGTACGAAAATATATATTAACATTTTGTTTGCATAATAATACTTTCATGTTACATATTTTACATACTTATTTTACATACTTTCATGTTCATTTCTGATTAAACTGTTTATTAATTTTAAAATGTAGTGCTATATGTTATATATTAATTCAAGTTTCTTATATTTTTAATGACTAATTATAATTTCTTTGCACTTAAAAATTAGTGTAATAAAATTATTTAATAATTATTTATAACATATTAAAAATAGTATGAGTTATACATATCATGATATTTAAAAATTACAATGTTCAAAGTACATGTGAAATTTAATGATAAAGATCATTTGTGTTTACATTTATAAGCTATGTGTTCATTATCATTAAACAAAAGTTAAAATAATATATTTTAAAAAACTTATATAATATATGATGATGATACATATTACTGTCATGAATGTTAATATATTATGATATAGAAAACATAAATCCTGAATATAACTTGATATGTGCCATTAACGATGAAAACATCCTCGATATAAAATTGATATTGCTTTATTTTATTTTCACAACTAAAAAAATATTTCATTTTAAATAAATATTGATATATTTTTTTAATTTTTATAAAAAAATACAATAAAAATTAAATCGAATAAATAAAACATATTAAAAATTTTTATATTATATTTAACACTAAAATAGTCTAATTTTTGAAATTGTGCATTAAAATTTTACAAATATAAAATTCAATTAATTTGAAAATTAAGCATATGTTTAAAATTGTCTGGTAAATGCTTACCATCTGGTTTATTATCATCAGCTTCATTAAATTCTTTATAATTTTCACGAATAGGATGCGGTCCATTGGGATCCCTTAAGTCATTTGCTTTATCTTGAACTTCTTTAAATGATGCTTTAATATTATCTAATGCATTTCCTAATCCCGTTTTAATCTGATTAAATTCTTGTGTCACTAACGAAAGTCTTCCTAACAGATAATTTAAGTTATTATCAACTTCAGTCATACGTTTCGTTATTTCGCTCACCTGTAAGAACATATACATATAAAAAATATGTTACACTTTTTTTTATTCAATTTTAATTCTTACTTTAGTTTCCATTCCACCCATAGTAAAAGTTGTACCATTAACATATTCCTCATTTTGTTTATGTAATTTATCTAATGCTTTCGCACTTTCTGTCATTTGCTGATACATAACATTTATTTGTCGCCATACCTTTTATTTAAAAAAAATTAAAATATGTTCCAGAATAGTTTTTCAGAAAAATATATCTTTAATCAATACCTGATTCATTTCTTGTTCCATTTTAGTAGTTAAATTTGCTAAAGCTCCATTCTGATTGTCCATAATATCATTTGATATGCCATCAAATCTTTGATTCAGAGTATTATTAATATTTGTACCTTGCGCTTTTACTAAATCTCCTACCTCTAGAAGAATTTGATGCACGCCATACTCGACTCTTCTTTTAGTATCTAAGACATGATCAGCCATTGATACTATTACAGATTGTCCTTTTTCGAGATCATTTAATTCTTGATTTACATGTTCAGCATTATTTGCCAAGTCCATCCTAAAATCTCAGAAATTGCTCATTAAATTGCTTTCATTATTAAATTTTCGTATTTAAAAAAATAGTTTCTATTAATTAATTAATAATTTATTTATATTTTTTTAAAAATTAAAGAAATTATTATGTATATAAGAAATGTTATGTTGCTACGTTATAATCATGCTTAAAACTTTATGTAAAAATATGTAAATGAACAAAATAAGCAAATGAAATAAATGAAATAATAATGTAAATTATATGTATCATAAATAAATTTTATAAATTAATTAAATATTAATAATTTAATTAAAATGTATTAGAAATGTATTATTATATAATACCTAAGTGCTCCTATAGTATCTTTTGTTTCATTCTTATTTTCCGTTAATTTATTTTCAATGTCATTAACTCCCCTAGTAACAATATCTTTTAATGCATACTTAGTTTCTTGCAAAAGTGTTTGGGTTTCATTATGTAGGTTTTGCATTTCAGTAATTCTAGATAATAAAATTTAATTCATTAATTCTGATTTTAAGAAAAAAGTTTTGAATCGAATTATTTAAATCTTTCAGTTTGTATATTCAACATTTAAAAAACATATCTTTTCATTTCATAATAAAATACTATTAAGAAAAGTAATACATACTGTGGCAATTCTTTAATTTGATCAGAAGTATCATCTAAATGTTTCTTTATAGAAGGTAACATTTTTATATAATTATCAATATTTGAAATCACATCAGATTCTGGTTCTTGTAATTTGTTCTGTATGTTTTGTGATTGTTCCTTGATTTTTTCCAGTGAAACTTCAAGATTACTAAGTCTTGTACCAATATCTTGGATCTAGAGAGACTATAATTTTAATAAAAGTTTCCTAATAAACATTCAAACATGTTACTTACCTCAGTCAACAATGCTTGTATTGTTCCTGATTGAACATTTGTGACTTCTTTTAATTTTATGGCTTCAGATTTTAAAAAAGATTCTGTTTTTGATATTCTTTCCATTAACACTAATTCTGTGTCATTTAATTTTGAAATGATATGACCATGATTATTAAGCGGTGGTAATGTGGTATCTGGTCGATTATTTACTTCTGATACTTTATTTTCAATATCTGTGAGCCATCCTTCTAAACGACTTTCCAAATCTTCTAAACTATCAAGAGTCTTTTGCATTTGTATTCTTTCTCGTTCATCTCTCTAAATTAAATAAGGACGAATTTTTCTTTAGCAATATTATATTATATATATTACTATATTATATTATATATATTACTATATTATATTATATATATTACTATATTATATTATATATATTACTATATTATATTATATATATTACTATATTATATTATATATATTACTATATTATATTATATATATTACTATATTATATTATATATATTACTATAAGATTAATATATAAGATTTCACTATAAAAAAGTTGTCAATTATAAACGATCAATCAAATTGATTTATAATAGTGTTATTAATTATAAATCAATTATAACTATTAATGTACAAAGCAAGATATTTCATCAAGATGCTTGAAATAATTTCTTATGAATTAATCAGATACCTGAGAGATTAACTGTTCTATTCCTATTACTTTCTCATCAAGTTTAGCCAATTCTGTTTTGAATGATTCAATAGTTGACGTACGTTTTGTCAATACTGCAAGTGCTTTTTTTAAATGTTCTCCCAACTGACGTTCACGTGCCTCATGTCGTTCTAGTTTTTCAGTATTTTCTCGCATCATATGTACTAAACTTAACATTGCGTCTTTAATATCTTCATGCCTAGAAGTTGCATTAAAACAACCATATTTGCAACAACAAATAATTAATGAATATTCATAACAGAAAACTATGATATTAATGATATTAATGATATTATTTCTCATCTCAGTCATCTATATTCTCCATTAAAATAAAATTATTTTATCCAGATTAATTATATATAATGAAAGAAAAAACTTACGTAATTTCTCTAGCATTATTCAGATTTGTACAAAGTAAGTGCAGGAACAGTATCAACATATATTTCATTTTTTAACTATTGTAAACTATTATCTTGTATGTAAAAAAAAAAATTATCTGAAACAAGAAATATTAATTTCATTCCACGATACTGATAATTTTATTCACATCCCTCGTCGTGTATTTTTATATTTTCATTGGATCTTTCAAATAATTTCAACAAAATTGTGTCATTGCTGTGGCTACAGAATTAGGTACGCACTATGCGACTGAAACACTTTCCTTGATCAATTAATTGAATGTGCTGCTATTGAGATAAGAAGTTAAGAGGTCATTACTGAGATGACCCTCTGATGGATAAGGATATAAACTATCTTTGTTAATAAATTATCTGCAGCTCTTAATTATTAACGAATAAAATCACTTTCGTGAAAATAATAATATCAAAAATAATTCTGATCGGTGTTATTATTTAAAATATATTTAATCGTACAAATAGTTCAAATTATGTGCGCAATTAATATACAAGCACGTTGCACATATGTATAAATGTGTAAATGAACATACATGCATTTAATATAACATGAATAAGAAACAAAAGAAGAAATTCAAATATATAGATATTTGTTTTTCCCTTTTTTTTATTTCATACTTTTCGTTTTAATGTTATTAATAATATATATAATTAATTATATATATAATATCATAAAAATTATATTACATATATATATATATATATACATATAATAATTTTGATGATGATATATATAAGTCTGACTTCATATTTCCAGGCGAGAATACTTTTCTTTACTGCATGTCACAAAGAGTTCAAATTTTAGCTATTTATAGATCTACAGATGCACATCAAGTGCCGTTTGACGCCATATGGTACACATAAAACCATCTGTTTCTAGTACAATAAAATCTAATTTTTGTATCAGTATATTTGTAAATATTACAAGTACTTTTTATATACAATATATATATATATATATTTTTTAAAGTATACACGATATAACTATATTCAATAAAATGTTCTCTGATAAACTATTTTATCCGTTGCGGGAATATATTTTTATTTTTATTAATAATAAAATACGTTATTAATACAATTTCATTGATTTTGATAGAGCAAAACATTTTCATTTCATGCGATTTTCCTAACGTCTTCTCGCTTCTTCGTGCAGTTCCGAAATAATTTTTTTTCTTTAATTTCATTGAATTGCATTGTATATAAGGTTTTTTTTCGCATTGCAGTGGTGTTTCAAAGCAATGATAACTCTATATAAAAAGAAAAAATATTAAAAATTGCCAGATATAAATATGCTTTCACGCATATTGAATAACAACTTGCGTACATGTATTTTATTTGTAACAAGAAAAAGAAAGGAAAAAAAAAATAAAGATCGATTTACATATTTATCAGATAAATTTTTCTCATCGAATTGTATATGTATTTTATTACACTTTTATAATGCCGTACTTGCAAATTAATCATTTTAGTAGTACATATTATTGTTTGTAGAATCAAACGTACCGCGCACGTGTTATAATTTTTAACGTATCATTTTAAACAATGATCGCAATTAGCGTACGCTGGCCACCATTTTAAAATTAAGATCAACATCTAATAATTCAAAATGAAAACAATTTGATGTACAATTTAATTGAAAACCACCGTCTTTTTTGTATATTTCAGTCAAGTATTATTTTATTGGTACAGAAATAATAAAAAAAAAAGAAAAAAATATTTGTTTTTATTTGTAAACAATGATGGAAAACATTGAACTTTCATAACAAACTTGTTGATATAGTGATTTCAATATGAAACACAAATACGTTTGCACATATCTGCAGATACATTTAATAGAAAGAAGTATTTTCAACAGTGTTTCATAGGAAATTCAATGATCAGTGAAGGAGACGTGCATTAAGCGAACAGTAATTTGTAACTGCTGGAAAAAAAAATTGGAACGAAGATGATGTTATTAATAGAGACAAACATGCTGTGACAATCTCTTAGAAACGGAAGTCGGAGCTTTACTTACACAAAAAAAAGTATACTTCAATCCTTTTCGTGGCAATCAATTCAAGTAAAGAAGAACGCACTGTTTCCAATTCGATCAACGAAGAAGTGATTGTAGGATCGTTAGGTAAGTCCCCATTTGGATTTTTAAAAAACTGAGCTCTAGGTATATGGCGCTTCGTAGCGACACGTAGCGGCTATTTTTGGTACCTGAGGGAGAAACGTAGTGCTCCGGCCCGAAAAATAGATGTTGAATTATTTCGCGCAATTGTATCTCAACGAGAGCTTTTCTCGCTCGAAATCCAAATGTATAATGCGATGCATTTGTAAAATTTAATTTTCATGAATTTGCAATATCTGCGAATGAAGAACATTAAGTAGAGAACTTTCATCATGACGGCTTAACCTATCAATATTTCGTGTTCCGACGCTATCTAGCGCATTATTAAAGAAAGCTATTTCATTGAAGTAGGATGAAAAAGATGTAAAAAAGCAAAAAAATAACAATATGAAGTTCTGAACATTATACACATTATAATTTTACTCAACGAATTTAAAGATACTGAAAATTAACATTAAAATTAACATTTCTGAAAATTCTAAACATTCACATTGCAACACGATGTTGCAATACAATATGATATAAAAAATAAAATTAAAATCGTTAGACAGAGATTTGATTCAACAACTCGAATTTATTTAAAATATCTTGAATTTATGCATTTTTACTAGAATAAAAATAATTTTAAATGTCAAAAAAAAAACATCTCCCAATTGTACGTACATTTTCATTTCAATGATTTCAATAAAAAAAATTAACCGATACGTGCAGGATGTTCCAACATTTCATATTTACCCGATATATTTATAACTCTGTAACAGGCCGTTTTCTTAACAAGCTTTATACATTTTTTTTACGCGCGTATCGAATCCTCGCAGTTTGAGCATTCAAATTCGGGACACACTGTGAATAAATATTTATAGTATCACTATGTAATAAATATAATGACAAACAACATATTCATACAATATCAAACAGTACAAACAATTTATTTATTATACAATATCAAAGAGTTCAATTATTATTAATAATTATTAATAATTTGGTAAAATATAAAAATTGCAGTTACTGTATAATTGTTATTTATACATTTTCTCTTTTATGAATATTCGATAAAGTATGGATATCTGGATTTTATAATATCATAAGTAAAGTAATCATCATGTTCTTCGTTATAAATTTTGCCTTCTTTTTATAATTTAAGAAAATTAAACAATATTTTAGTAAATTTGGCACTTTTAATAAAACTGGCACTACCATTAACGTAAACGAAATTGAAACATTCTTTATATACGTAAACTATACTTAAACAAAACATAGAACGCAAGCTAAGGGTCTGTAAAATTGAAGTCGCAATCATAACAGTTCACAAATGATTTCTCTTCATTAATTTTTTCTCGTAATTTGTGGAAAAACTGTCACCTGTCAATGTTTAAAAGCAATGGTGATGCCATCTATTGATAGGTTGGTGGTACTAAAAACAGAAATATCTACTTTTAGTACCATCGAGTTATCAATAGATGGCGCCACTATGATTGTGGTTATAGCGATTATAATGATATTATTATAATACTATAAATAAATAAATAAATAAGAACTTTGTAACTTCAATAACTTTTTATAAATTATAATAAATTATATAATGAT